TTAAAGAGGACTATGAATGATCAAGTTCTGTAAATGTATACACGGAGCATATGCATCCGTTATGGAGAGATATTGATGTTACCAACCAATTTGTCTATTGTTTTGATAGGTACTCCCCCTTGGGGGATGTTACTCGGAACCTGTGGAGTGGGGTATGAGTTTTTTTTTCTGTTTTTAGAAATGTTTAATAAAGAAACCATGGTGTACCATTGACCACCAGCCCTTTAATTATTGTTTTTCAATATGCATACATATAAACAAACCCAATATTCTGGTTGAGTCTATAACTAGTTTTGTTTTTATGCAGTTTCTCATGGTTTGAAAGTGAAATTAGATTAGGCTGCTAATAGACACAAAACATATCCTGTTAGTACACTTTTCATGCATCCATTGCAATTTAGAACTCATTCACACCAGTGTGCAGTTTTTCCGCAAGTGCACAAAGAAAACAATTGTTTTATGTGCCCTGTTCACACAGAAACCCCTAGTATTGAGCAGATTTTTTTTCTGTGTAGGAATCTACAACGTGTATAAAAACGCACTAGATCTCACTTGAAAACTGATTTAAACTCGTGTCTCTAGAAATGAAATCTGTGCGTTTTTTTTTCCCCATCACTTTATTTGCACGTATGGTATGAACGAGGCCTAAATGTTCATAGAAAAACCCTTTACCTTTCATTCTGCAGGCAGCTATGATTTATGTACAGAATCTCTTGCCTATATTATTGTAGATTATTGGAAGAAAAAAAAACCTACTGGAGGTATCCAGTTGTTATGCTGCTCTCACAGCATAACAACTGTATACCTCCAGTAGGATTTTTTTTCCCCCCATACACTGCATTGATGATGACTAAATATGCTGAAATGGATGAAGGTCAGTTTGGGAAAAATGGCTCTATAGGATTAGGCTATATTTGCACCTGTAGCTCTGGATGTACATCTGGCCACAGGAAAGAAATGCAATGATTTGTATGGCCCTACCTGCTGTCCTAAAATGAGGAATACTCCTCTTATGTATGGAATATGTGATGGAATGAGACCTGTGAATACTTTTTGATTTAAGCTGGCTTTACTGTCCGAAGCTCTATGTAAAGGTATAAATCCATTGTGTTTCGGCGGTTCACAACTGCCACTTCATCAGGGTTGTATGCCGTCAATAAATTACATTTATACTTCACTGCAATTTGCATTAAAGAAAATGAATACATTAGAGGTCAGTAGCTGAGCACCAGCGTCTGACCTGCCTGAGAGTGTGTACACACTAAAATTTTTTTTTTTTGTTTAACCCAGCAGGCCAAACACAAAAATATGTGAGATCGCCGTACTAACACAAGCAATGTTGTTGCGGCGGTCTGTTCCTCTATGCCTTTGTGTTTTGACAAGGGGACTGCCCCCCCCTGCCAGCCAGAAACATACTGATCAGATGCTCGTTTTCCAGCATGCCATTTGACAGAAGCCGGTTTTACTGGTCTTCTGTAGAACAGACAGCTGTACACATGGGCTGAAAGTTGGCTGGTTCCTGCTAAACCAACCAATTTTCGGCACGTGTGTCCAAGGCTTTAGGCTTTGTTCACACTAGTGTGATTTCAGATGCAACTTGAGTTGCACAAAAACACATGACAATGAAAATCACATTGTTTTCAATGGTGCCCGTTCACATCAATGCAATTTAGCAGGGTGTGATTTTGGAAAAGGTTCCTGTGCTACTTTGGTGCGATTCCAGTGCAGATTTGGTCCATAGTATATGTAAACCACATCCAAGTTACAAGATGGATCAAAATCGAATTGCAGCAGTGTGAACCTAGCCTTAATCATGGATTTAAATCATAAAAAAACAGGTAGATTGTGACTCAACAGATCTCCCTTGAGATACCTCTGTCGACAGAGTGGCCTTCAAAAATGTAAAAACTCAGACTACCTATCCTCCCCCTCTAAGGGGTTCCAGCCCTCATACAATACACATTTACAGCTTGTTAATTGATTAATTGTCTCACTGCTTTTTCCAGCAGTTTATAAACACTTGAAATGACCATGAGGTCACCCAAATCGTGCACTCTGCTCCTCCAAAGACATCTTGCTCTCTAACTTTTTTGTCACCTCCTCCCATTATCACCTTCAGGACGTCTCTAAAACCTCTCCAATTCTCTGGAACTCCCTACCCAAGTATGTCCAGTTAGCTCCTACCCTGCTTGCGATGCAGGGAAGACTACCCCACCTTCACCTAAAAAACTGTACTGGACCACCGTCAGATCATCCCCTGCAACAACTACTTTTTGTATCACCTCCCCTCCCTTTAGATTGTAAGCTCCATGAGCAGGGCCCTCCTAATCCTTCTGATTTGTGCTGTCTCCCTTTATATTGTAAAGAGCTGTGCAAACTGTTGGCACTATATAAATCCTGTATAACATTATTAACGAGATTATAAAACACATCCTCCTACTTCTTTTTGTATAAGCAGGTTTAAAAGCATTTTCCTCTCCCAGTATGCTCAGAATAGAGATAGGTGAGAATCTGAATATAATCTTATTAAAGCCAGACTCTGAAAAACATTAAAATTATCCCTTGCAGTGGTGTATGCTCGCATACTGCATACTATGGAAGGAAAAAAGTGCTTTTACTTACCTGTTCCCCCAACATCCAGCAGTGGACATAGCAGAGAAAACCCTGTGGGGGCTTGTCCAGCAGCATGGAAAATCAAGTAAGCAGATCTACCTTTCTGTGTCCCCTTGACAATCATCCCTTGCAGTGCAGATGCAGCCCCACTGCAAGGGATCATTTTAAAGTTTTCAGGAGTCGGGCTTTACATTTTTCCTGGGGGTATCAATAACCTCAAGGACTGATTTTATCAGCAAATGTAGAATCTAACATTAAATCTCACCCCTAATTTTTTCTCAGAATGCTAAAATCATTGCACATAAAGGAGCTGATTCATTTCAGAGGAAAACAGTTTTGCTGTTGGTTCCTGAAAAATCTGTTATTGGTAGGAGTATTTTCAGGAATATTGGCTGGTTCCAATTAACTGACAGACCACATTTTCAGTGCTGTCACCATTTCTAACTAAACGAACGAGATGCCCTCTTAATGAAATCATCCATGTAATTTATCAAGAACATATACAGTTATGGAGTAAATCTGTAGAAAGGACAATAAGGATATGGAAACTGCAGTAACCTACAACAGTCTATTAAATAATCTGTCTTAAGAGGTCAGTACACACAAAAAAGATTTTCCAATTTTAGATAGTTGACAAAGGGTTTAACCGCCTCTTATCTCTGTACTGGTGAGATTTTTCTGCTTAAAGAGGAACTCCAGTTTTTTTTTTTTTAAGTCAGCAGCTTCAAATTCTGTAGCTGCTGACTTTTAAAAATAAGGTACATACCAGTGCCTAGGGGTCTAGCACAGGTCTTGTTGCCACTGTCGGTCCTCAGTGCCACCACCTTGGATATGGGAGCCGACTGTGGCTTCATAAGTAACCACAGTTGGCACCCTATGGAGCTTTGAGAATGGTCCTACAGCCTCGTAGGACATGTGACATGTTCCAAGAAGCTGTGGGAGGGGAGGGGGCAAGGCAAGGGATGTCATTCTCAGCTAGGCAAGAATAATGGAAGTGGGAGCAGGAACCAACAAAAATCCCCCATCCCCTCCCCGCCAAAAAAAAAACCCTGTAACTTAGTTAACAGCAGGTGGGGGGTTTGACGGAAGCTGCAAGACTTCACTTTTTGAGAGAAGTTATTCTTTAAAGTATATTTCCATGTCTGCAGTGAAATTTGAGAACCACCCCTCCCCCCACACTATATGTTTGTAATGTATTACCATTCACACAGCATGCATAAAAATATGGAACATGCCTCAGGCAGTCCACAAAGTACAAAAATGAGAAGAAATCTGTTCCCACTGACAAAGTGTGGATAGATTGAGTTTCTCCTCATTAACAAATAATGCAGAACCCAAGCTCTGAGATCTTCAACCCATTGTTAAGACAGATAGTGTTGAAATCCAGCTTACAACTGATAATGAGATCTGCTAGTACAGTACACACAGGGTTAATTATGATAAACATTAACTCCCCAGCCTCCTCCTTGACATTACATACCAGTTTTGGAATTTTCAGAAAAGTGAAAGTAAAAATGTCAGCACCAACATATGTTAAAATTAAGGCTATGGTGAATGGGAGCATGGACAAAAAAAAAGCCGAACTTACCCCAGTTTGGAAGCAAAAGTGGAAATACACTTTAGCTCTTTCAAGCCCAGCTGTGGCGTACCTGGGATGGGGGTGGGGGGGGGGGGGGGTGACGACTGGCCAATCACATGACCACTGTGATTAGCAGTCACACTGGTCACATGATTGGGAGCCAGTCCTGGTGGCTCCAGATCATTAGGAGAGACTGAGAGCTGTATTTGGTTACAGCAGTAGCATAATGTCAGCACTGAAGGTTCTGCTGCCCATGAACACATATGTGGGAAGTGTGGATGTTAAAGCCTACCCTTTGTCATTGTACATATGCATTATGTGGGCGTCAGGAGCTTAAGTTCATCAGTCTGCACAGCTGCTTTGGCCATTATACGAGTTTCCAATGTTGGCGCATCAAGGACATATATAATAAGATGGAGGCTGACTCAGCCCACCATGCCCCAACTATACCTAAAATATTGGTTTGGAGCAAACTGACACTTTATCGAAGTTAAAGTCATATGAATGGCAGTTAGAAGCATTAAAAAAATAAGCAATCAGTGAAGAACATAGCAAAAAAGACACTTCAAAACAAGAGTTCTCTGTTTATCCAAAAGAATAAAAAAAATCCCAGGAATCCTGGAAAGATTGCATACCTGTACCCGTCTTATTTTTTACATTTACTATCAACGAATATAGGAGCACAGTTCTTACAATCAGAGGCCTATGGCGACATTAAATAAATGTATAAAAATGGTTGACACATCTCCTGGCTGAGCCTGTATTAGGTAGTCCTCATAACAGAGAAAATGTCTATTAGACAGAAGTGTCATAGAGCGGTCAGAGCTTTGGCAGCTACTCTTCTTCCAAGAGGGAGTGTCAGGTCTGTGATTGCCAGCACAATTTTGGGGCTTGATAAGGTGGAGACTTTAACCAACTCAGAAACCTTTAAAGAAAGAAGATACACCAACTGTAAAATCAAATAAGAAATCACATTTAAAATCTGCTGTGTAATTTAATAATACTTTTTTGTTCTAGTTTTGTATAGTGGGTGAGTGTTAGATCCTCGGTTAGGTTTTTGTTAATTTATAGACATGCTGTATATATAAGGGGATATAAATAGGAAAGCTTATCGAGTCACAACACTATATAAAAAAAATGAAAAAGAATTTAAAAAATTATATTCCAATATGTATCCAAAAAGTATCACAATTTTATTTCTGCCACCGTTTTGCCTTCAACATAGGTATGGACATTTTATACATAGTTACACTGGTCCAGTTTGGACCAAAGTAACTATATAAATACTATACCTGGCTGATGTCCCTGGATGCTGGAAATCACTGAAGCAGATACTGCTGCTCCAGTGATCTTCCCTAGTTCCTGGGTCCCTTTGCTGTGTGGCTACCCTTCTTATATTCTGAGGTTGTCTGCTTGGCACAGATGCCATTCAAAAAATGCAATGCATTTTCTGAATGAATGCAAAGCATTCTCTGATTGGATGAGGTGGAGAGATAGGATGGTGGCATCAAACTTTGATTTCCAGCTTCCATGAGCATTGGCCAGGTGTGGTATATGCATAGTTACATTGGTCCAAGCCAGAAGAACGTTTATCAATCTAGTAGTGCCAACCACTACAGTGATTTCCAGCTTCCCCTGTAGTCCATCAGGTGGTATGAGATCTACAGTACATACTTACACTGTGCCAAGCTAGACCAATGTAAGTAAGCAACACAGATCATTCCTGTGGATCGGCTTTAAAGGGAACTTTACAGTCCATATAAAAGCACACCTCCAACTACATTTTTTTTTCTGCATTGGAAAGGGGTGTGGGAGAGTTAGAACCTCTGCCAAGTTTTTATTACTGTCCATGTCTTTCTATTCTGGTGAAATCTGTATTTCAATTATTTGTATGAGTGTCACTGGGACAGAAAATCTAGAAAATGGATAAATCTCCTCATTGAGTTATCGAATAAAAACTTGACACAAATCTTAATTCTTCCCAATGCTTAACCCCCCCCCCCCCCCCCTCCCCCCCCACTGGATTTAGGCTTAAACAGATGTATATCTTTTCTACTAACGTTGAATATGCATTTTACCCAGACTGTAAGCCTGGCAGCCAGCAGTTCACGATATCCTGTGATTACCACTTTAAATAGCTAGGGGGAGGACATTTTTAAAAGGACTGTTACCCTAGAGCTTAACAAGCAGAGGCTGAATGTGGAGAGGGCAAAAGGATCTGGGAATAGGTGCCACATGATCAGATTTGCAACATAGTACAATACTGAGAACTGTGGGCTAGTGAGGACAGCGCATCACACTTACAGCTTTTATCTTATCAGTAAATAATGATAAAAGGGTCCCTATCACTCACCATGCTGAAAGGCATAAACTGTAGGATCCCGCCTTTCCCTCCTGGCTCAAGGCTCTCCACGCACTCCTCCATAAACCACTGTACAAACTGGGTGTGGGAGCCAGCTGTCCGCGCTCCCAGAATGGATGAGATCAACAGGAAAAGGTTGGCTGCAGGCAAGAAGAGGTATTTTCAGGAAGGGGGTGGTTTACCATGCAGTTATTTAGTAACGAAACAAGGAACATCTAATACACAAAACTGTTGAAATATAAGAAGATACCATTTAATAAAATAAAAAAAAAAAAAAAAAAAGCAGGATATGATGGGACACTATTCCTCCCACTGACACTAAATGATGAAGCACTATTCCTCCCACTGACACCAATGATGGGGCGCTATTCCTCCCACTGACACCAATGATGGGGCGCTATTCCTCCCACTGACACTAAATGATGGGGCACTATTCCTCCCACTGACACTAAATGATGGGGCACTATTCCTCCCACTGACATCAATGATGGAGCACTATTCTTCCCACTGACATCAATGATGGAGCACTATTCTTCCCACTGACATCAATGATGGGGCACTATTCCTCCTACTGATACCAATGATGGGGCACTATTCCTCCTACTAAAACCTAAACAAAGGGGCACTGTTCCTCCCACTAATACCAAGGAAGGGGCACTGTTCCTCCCACTAATACCAAGGAAGGGGCACTGTTCCTCCCACTAATACCAAGGAAGGGGCACTGTTCCTCCCACTAATACCAAGGAAGGGGCACTGGAAGGGGCACTGTTCCTCCCACTAATTCCTCCCACTAATACAAGGAAACTGATACAAACGGGGCACTCCTCCTCCTACTACTGACCACATTATGCCATTTGTTTTTTTTTATGACAATACCCACCAAGCCTACGGTATCGTATACTCTCACTGACACTTGGACATTTTCTACTCCCACTGGCCACAGTCCAGCCCTTATAAAGTCTAAAGGACAATGAACTGGCATTTTGTATAGAAGGTTTGGAGTCCCCTGCTCTACATAATTCTCAGCACAACTCATGCAGTAGCGAACATCTGCTTGGCATCCTAGGATCTGTGCTTTTTCTCCTGTTTCACATGTGCTCAGCTATGAAATGCTAACATAACGCAACAAATAAGTAAGATTTCAATATCTGCATATATTTTAAACAGGTAGTCATCAGAACACCATCATGTTTTAATTCTGCAGAAAGAATTATTCCTTTAACTAAAAAAATTCCAAAAGGTCAATATTTTAAACAGTGTTCAGTGGAGATCTTTAAAGCAATACAGTCGCCTCAATGACAAACAGACCGTGGGCAGTCTGCATCAAAAAAAAAAAAAATAAAAAGGAGAGTGAGGGCCGGTTTACACTATAGAAACGCAGTCCGGATGCATACCGGACGTGTTTCCGCATCCCCTTTTTCTGACACATTCTGGTGCATTTATGATGCATTTTTGATGCATTCCAGTGCATTTGTTATGCATTCCAGTTCATTTTTTCCCCTCTCTCTTTCTTTAATGTAAATAGGGACATGTGCGTTCCAGTACGTTTTTGCTGCGTTCCAGTGCTTTTTTCCACGTTACAGTACAGTTCTGTGCAGAAAAAATGCAGCATGTTCTACTTTTTTTTTCTGCTACTGGAACTGCAAGCACTGATGTGAAGTATGACATGGGCAAACATATAACCAAATTCCTGTGTGTTTGGATGCAGAAAAAAAACAACTGAAAACACATGTAGTGTGAACTGGTCCTAATACAAACTTTTCCTAAAGTGACCCTGTCACCACAAGGTCACTTTTGGCCAAGAGGTCACCTTTAAAAAGAACTGTTTATAGACTTATTTTTCTGGTGGGCTGAGTATTGAAAAGTCGCCACTTCTCCGCTCCCCAGCCAGTAATCTATAGTCTTGTACAACTGGCCAAAGTGGCCAGAGGGGGAGCAAGTATTTCACACACCCAAAATGTAGAATACTTGCAGCAGCTGGGAAGTAGACAAGCAGCAGAATTTCAACACCAGGCCTGCCAAAATGGTAAGTATATAAAAGCTGTTTTACAAGTGATTCATCTAAAAGTGACCCTGTGGCCTATGTTGATAGGGTCACTTTAAGATCTACAGGAATTGCCACAGTCTGACACCTCCACGTGTCTCTGATAATGTATCCTGTGCTTCCTCCTGTCAACATCTACATCACTACTATCTCATGTATCAGCGTAGGGGTTTACTGAAGGAAAAGATCTCCCAGCTGTAACATGTTTGAGTAGGTCCCATTACTTAGCAAATTTTGTAGAGATGTGTAAAACAGATTTGTATAACAGAAGTAGTGTACTACTAATCCTGAGTATACTAAACACTCCTATCTCTTCCAAGCAGCTTGTCATATGACCTAAGCCAAGGCAACAACCATGTGATCACTAAGGAAAGGTGACATTTAGGCACAAACAGTTAATCAAGGCCACTGCTTGAAATCTAAACCTCTCCTTGGGGTTGGAGATCATGACATTACTGCCCAAGCCTTCCCCCACCTCCCAGGGAATGCTTTGCATTTGTTGAGAAAATGCAAAGTGTTCCCTAAAAGGCGCCTGTACCGAAGAGAGCAATCCTCGGGTTCACAATGCAGCAGGGCAGCCGCTTGGCAAGGGACCTGAAAATTAGTGGAGATGACTGTAAGTGCAATGCCTACTAGAGTGATTTCCAGGATGCAGGGGGATCCCACAGGTATAAGACATATATACTTACAATAGTCCAGGCTAGACCAATGTAAGCACTGCCATTCCTAACCTGCAGCTTATAAAAAAAAAATTTGTGCCGACAGGTTCTGTCAGCCTATGTAAGCATAGATCAAAAGAAATAGGGATGGCTTAGGAAAAAGTAATAGGTGACAGGAGATCCTGAATTGTTTCTAGGACATCATTGTCTTGAATTTTGTGTGATAGGTATATTTTAAGGCTGTGCTGAGTGGCCAGTAACATATTACAAAACTACTTGAAAGCCCTTGTATAGTGTCAAAGTGTCTTCACAGCCAAACATGCTTACTAAGGCATTTGTGCTGCATGTGAAACAAGACAAGATTAATCTCCTAATAATGTCCAGGCTGAGACCACACAAAAAGGTCAGTCTGCTGACAGCTGCTCACCCTTATCGGGTCAAGAAGCAATCTCCTATGATCTTGTAATTGTCTCCGATACAGTATAAGGAGACGTGGGGGCTAGAGCTAAAGTGAACCTGTTCCACTACCCTGCATCTTGATTTGACATTCAATTATATTTATCGCTGATGCTGTGGCAACCAGCTACAGCACTAAATCAGTCTATGGAAAGGTAATGTTCAATGTGTGATCTTACCAAGCACTCTGTTCAATGGTTCTTTGGAGCTGATGTTGTGGATCTGCGAGGCAGAGAGAGAGCTGTTCATAGGACGTTCAGCTGTGAGTGAAGAACAGACAATTTATGTGACTTTACAACATCTAATACATTTAATAAAGGCAGCCATGAGCCAATGTGGCAGATTAAGAAGCAGAATAAAGCCACAAAATGTACTTGCTATGATTATTTGTTTTAGATTATAATTCTGATTATATCTGGACATCTGTTGTGAAATTCAATAAATGAATTGTATGGAAAAGAGGTTAATTAAAGGGATGGCAAGACTATCTGGAGCACTTTCCATACAATATCACTTTCCCTTTTTTAGGTCACCTGCATGTGTGTCCAGGAAAACTAAGAACAACATTCTCAAAGAGGTGTTGAGAACTTTTAGACTTGCATGTTTAGTCAGACGAAGGAAAACTTCAGACAAGCTCAATAGCTCTGGTGAGGTGGCTCCCACACAGCAAAGCTTCCTTCGATGGGCACCCAATGGTAGCTCAAACCACAGAAATACAGAAAGTAATGCCAGACTAAAATTGAATAAAGGAGTCCAAAATCATTTTAATTGTTGGTAAAAAAAATCATATACAACAACAGCCAACACTGTTCGGGGCAACATCACTCCCTTTGTTTGTGGTATATACTTATATGCATATCTAGACATCATGTTTCAGCATTATGACTGTGTTTTTGTGTATTTTTGAAACCTAGATGAAGGGAGAGTGGTGTTGCCCCTGAAAAGAATTGGATGGTTTTATGCGACTTTTTTTTTTTACCAACAATTAAAATGATCTTGGACTCTTATGCTGTTTTAGTCTGGCGCTCCTTTCTGTGTTTCTACAGGAACACTATAAGGCCTAGTTCACACTGGCTTTAAAAGCAGGTGTTTGAGGGGCGTTTTTAATGCTCCTCAAATGCCTATAGAATTGATACTATGGGCAGCACACAGTACTGCTCACATTATCAAAACATGAAGCGTTAGCGTCACATCGATTCAGAATTGAAGCCTCATGTCAAGTCTAGAGGAGTTTGAAACCTTTCAACGGCTCCCATTCAAGTCTATGGTGGCGCTCCGCAAACGCACTGGCAGGTGTTTGCTGGGTGTTAATACCATAAGAGTTTATTATAGGCATTTGTGGTGCATTTCTAACACTTGTAAAATGCTTCTAAAACGCCTCAAAACCACGCTTAGGGCATTTGGGGAGCATTTTTAATGCTTGTAAAACACCCATGCTAAAGCTCATTAACGCCGGTCTAACGCTCATACTAATTCTATAGGGGCGTTTTTGAAGAGTTAGACATTTAGTCAAGTGTGAACAAGCCCCAAGTCATATTAAAATACAGTATAACAGAAAAAAATTGATGTGTAAAAGTACAGTAACCTTTAGCATCTATTAGAAAAAATTTCTTGAAAGAGAACTCCAAGACTAATAGAAAATGCAGAATTTTTTTCCATCTTAACAAATTCAGACTTTTTCAAACAGTATTTCCCCTGAATTATGTTCAAATTTTGTGCCTATGCCCACAACATTTAATGAATCATGTTGAATGACAACACAGCTTACACACAGCTTACATAGGACAAATAGAGGAAGCTATGGTTTTATCCTGAAAGCTGATGTTTTTTTCTGTTTCAGATTTGCTCAGCAGGAGACTTAGAACAAAAAGAGAAAACAGTAGTCACTCAATCTTCAAACTAGAAAAGGAGGCACAAGATGGCAGGAGCAATTCACTAAATATATACCATATCAATCCTTCAATACAATCATTATTGCCTGGCTAGCCAGCAAAAAGGACCTGCAGACTGCTGTACTGTAGTACCTACATATACAGTTGTGCGCAAGTCAAGCAAAAACTTACGCGGCCCATTTGAAATGGAGAATGAATTATTTATTTTAATTATTTCAGGTACTTATATAGTGCCGTCAATTTACGCAGTGAGAATATATATATATATATATATATATATATATATAAACATTCACATCAGCACCTAACCCTAAAGGGGCGTACAATCTAAGGTCCCTAACCTACATTCATACATACACATACTAGGGCCAAATTAGACAGGAGCTAATTAACCTACCAGCATGTCTTTGGAGTGTGGGAGGAAGCTGGAGTACCCAGAGGAAACCCACGCAGGCACAGGGAAAACATGCAAACTCCAGGCAGGTGGTGCCGTGGTTGGGATTTGAACCAACAACCCTAGTACTGCCAGGCAAAAGTGCTAACCATTTAACCACTGTGCTACCCCATGTCTTTATCTTCTGTGAATTATACAGTGCAGTATTACTCCATAATACAGCCTGCATTTTGCAGCCTATTCATAAAATGCAGGCCATGGTGTGGTGCCTGTGATGTCCTACAGAGTTCTCTCTGCAAAAGCAGAGACTGACCATCACTGACCCCCCATTACCGCCTCTCCCTTCACATTGATCTATCACTGAACTGCCCAGACACTGTCAACTCTCCACCCTTACTCCTCCATGACCCCCCTCTACTTCCTATCCTCCTCCTCCTTACCAGTGATCTATCACTGATTCCCATTGGCACCTCTCTGCTCATTGACCCCCATTACCTTCTCTACCTTACCACTGATTCATCACTGAACCCCGCCATTAACTCTCTACCCTTACTCCTCCATCACCTCCAGTAACTTTTCTTCTCCACTGACCTCCACTGCCTCCTCTTTTCCCGCTGATATATCACTCACCTCCCACTGCCAACTCTCCACCCTTACCCCTCCATCAATGACCCCCATAACTTCCTCCCCCTTCCCAATTATCCATCAGTGGCCCCCACACTTTTGCTACTCCAGTGCTGACCCCCACTGCCCATTCCCCTCCTCCACCTAATCCAATTCCTCCACTTTTAGACTCCTGTATTACTGACTCCCAGTGCAGTTTGTCATCCCCTTTGACAGGCACACTTCTGCTATAATTCAAATGAGCAAATAGTCATTGTGTATTCAAACATATCATTGTTTAAGTGTGTTTCCCGAAAAAGCTGTGTACACTTTTCATTCACTCAAAAAGAAAAATGATACTTTATCAGAAATGTTCAATGTTTTCATAAAACTGACATTTCAAAAGCATGCGTCTATGATCTCGATTTTGTAAATTAGAAACAGATTTAGTAGATTTTGTTTCTGCTTGGTAATGCTGAGTACTAGGGAACTCATTTCATTTTAAAGTGATGACTCACTGAACGCATCTTAGATTTTATTTTTTATCTTTTCATGTGTCTGGGTCATTGCTGTACTTCTGACAGATCAAATCCTGGTCTACAAGAATACCTTAAGATGACGATCCCAAATAACAGGGGAAAGTTGTGTTACTATGAATTTCCAAGATTACAGCACTATTCACTGACTGCCCCAATGAGTAGCAGGGCCGAAATCATGGTGAGTTTTAGTGTCTATAAACAAACTAGTTGTATGTAAAATAGCAACAGAATGACGTACGAATTTAATCCAACTGAACAATGTCAGACTATGGAACAAATGGTAACAAAAAAGGAGAACTGGAACATTACAATCTCTTTCTAAGAAAGAGTGGTCCGAAGGAAGCTGACTAATAATTTTTTGAACTCTATAGGCAGTTTTATTTTAAGGCATGTAGGTTTCTCAAGCCTTAAGCATAGATGAGCCAGCATTTTCAGCAAGATTACAAAATGACCCAGTGTAAAGAATTCCATTCATTCCAAAGTCAACTGTTAAAAGCAATTTATTTTTATTGCATATAAATGAAGAAAAACCTTTAAGCGGTTGTAAACATACATTTTTTTTACATGTTATACTTACCTGCTCTGTGCAATGGCTGCACAGAGCAGCTCCTTACCTCTAGGGTCCTCCGTCAGTGCTCTCAACTTCTCCCTTGTGCGTTCATTGACACACACAGCATGGCTCGGCTCTCCTCCTCACAGGATTTGATTGATAGCAACAGGAGCCAATGGCTCCTGTTGCTATCAGCAATGTATGTGAGACCAGGAAAAGGAAAGAATAGCTGCTGCAGATCGGACAGCGGTGGAATGAAAGAGGACTTAGGTAAGTGCTTAAGAGGGGGCTGGGGGGGAAGCTGCTATTGAAAGGGGTTTCTTTACCTTAATGCAGAGAATGCATAAGGTAAAAAACATATTGCTTTAGAACCGGCAAACAAACATTGCCACCTTCAGGATGCAGTGCTATGTTTGATGCTGTAATGAGCAGATTACAGTTAAAAAAATAATAGACAGACAGACAGACACACTATATTGAAAAAAGTATTGGTCGGTCTGCCTTTTCACACACGAACTTTAATGGCATCCCAGTCTTAGTCCGTAGGATTCAATATTGAGTTGGCCCTGCCCTTTGCAGCTATAACAGCTTCAACTCAAGGTTTAGGAGTGTGTCTATGGGAATGTTTGACCATTCTACCAGAAGCGCATTTGTAAGGTCAGGCACTGATGTCGGACGAGAAGGCCTTGCTCACAGCCCCTGCTCTAATCCATTCCAAAGGTGTTCTATCAGGTTGAGGTCAGGCGAGTCAAGTTCCTCCACCCCAAACTAGCTTCATCCACGTCTTTATGGACCTTGCTTTGTGCACTGGTGCGCAGTCATGTTGGAACAGGAAGGGCCATCCCCAAACTATTCCCACAAAGTTGGGAGCATTAAATTGTTCAAAATGTCTAGGTATGCTGATGCCTTAAGCGTTCCCTTTACTGAAACTAGGGGGCCAAACCCAACCCCTGAAAAACAACCCTACACCATAATCCCCCCTCCACCAAACTTTACACTTGGCACAGTGCAGTCAGGCAAGTACCATTCTCCTGGCAACCGCCAAACCCAGACATGTCCATCGGATTGCCAGACAGAGAAGCAGGATTCGTCACTCCAGAGAACATGTCTCCACTGCTCTAGAGTCCAGTGGCGGCGTGCATTACACCACTGCACCCGACACTTTTCATCACACTTGGTGATGTAAGGCTTATGGCAGCTGCTTGGCCATGGAAACCCATTCCATGAAGCTCTCTACGCAGTGCTGTTGTACTAATCTGAAAGGTACACAAAGTTTGGAGATCTTTAGCTATTGACTTTGCAAACAGTTGGCGACTTCTGCACACTGTGCGTTTCAGCATGTGCTGACCCTGCTCTGTCATTTTACGTGGCCTACACTTCGTGGCTGTGTTGCTGTTGTTCCCAGTTGCTTCCACTTTGTTATAATACCACTAACAGTTGGCCATGGAATATTTAGTAGCAAGGAAATGTCACGGATGGACTTATTGCACAGTTGGCAACCTATCACGGTACTACTACACTTGAATTCACTGAGCTTCTGAGAGCGACCTATCCTTTCACAAATGTTTGTAGAAGCAGTCTGCATGTCTAGGAGTTTGATTTTATACACATGTGGCCATGAAGGGGAGATATATATAAATACACACACACACACAAACAAAAAACTGTGGAGTGTATCCTTTAGATCTTGCAAAAGCTATGCATACATACATACACACACATTATATATATATACATACATACAAACACACACACCAAAAACTGTATAGCTTTTGGAAGATCTAAAAGGAGATTATATAATCAGAGTGTAATGTATATCAGATCAGCTTGTGTATGGACAGCATTCTGAGAACAGAATCCTGGATTAGGATTGGCCATGAGGCAAGTATTCCCAATCTTTTAACAATGTTTATGGCCAGATATATATGACTCTCAGAACAGAATATTAAAATTGTGCTAAAGGACTTTTTTTGGATCAATTTAGAAATTATAATCCCGGTCAGGTTTTTACTGAATAGGATTATTTTCCCTCACTTCTTGTCTCAAAGAGAGTGTTGAGCAAGCACAGTTATAGTAAATGATCACAGCTTTTCCAGCCCTTTACCCTGTACAATTTTTATATTTTAGCAATGGACCTATAGATTGAGATTCAAAGTTTTATTTGCATCTTTCTCTATTATATTATGTTAAAAGAAATTAACATTTTTAAAAGCTGCTTTTTTTTAATCACTAATCCTACCTAAAACAAAGAAACAAACAAAACTCTAAAATAACATTTCTGTATGCATGCTAAAAAACAAATTTTTCAAGCAGAAGTTAACTAGGGCTAGTGAGGTAAAATAGAGTTGTGTAGGAAAGACCTTCATAAAATTAAATAAAAAAAATTGGACTTTTAGGTTTGCTACAGCAAATCACAATGCAACTTTTTTTTTTAGCACTATAACGATTAGTGATTACAGTGAGATTATTATACAGTGATCATTGGAGAAGTTAGTGACAGGTATCTCAGCTGTCAATAGTGGGACCTGGCAGGTACACCAAAAGCAATCTTGTGACTTCTATCAGTGTCCAGCACTGGTTAAAGTTCATAGAAGTTTTTATTCTCCCCTATGAGGCTGCAGGACTACTGACCCTCTGTCTGGACAGTGCTGATTGGCCTTGTGCTGATCACATGCACTCTTCCAAGAAAGAAAAAAAAAACAAACTTTCTAGCAATACACACCACACTGAGCATGTGCAGCTTGCCCCCAAGGCTCTGTTCTATAAGGAGATGGACTGGGGACAGTAGAAGAAGGGGAGGATCAGAGAAGACAGGATCAAACAGCCTTTTTACACAATGTATTGGATTAACCCCTTAGGTTTTAGTGAGTATAACAAGCATGCTTTATTGCATATACAGACTGATTTTACTGTTAGTAACACTTTAACGGAAGTCCTGCATGTCTTACGTAATATACCCAGGGCTTCAAGGAGTTAAGCATGAAATTTCATATTCTTTCATAAGCCTAGTTGTCTCTGGTTTTCTCCAACTGTACTAATGATCACACGTGAATATAATTCAAGCTTCCTTCCCTTTCTTCATATGGACGTAAAGAGGGAAATGAGTAAGCAGCAGTCAGAAGTACTAAACGCTATACAAACTTCTGTGCCTGTATAAAGAACAGTATCATGATTTGATGTTACATGCATTGGCAGCCCTTCCTGGTTAGGATTCCAAATAAAGTAAGTATAGCGTTTCCCAAGGGGAATTCTCCGCATGCTGGAGCTGGGTGTGCCAACAGGATATTGTGCAATATATCACTGAAACACAGGTAAAAGGATTAAAATAAAAAACATACCACTCCCTATGCCAACATAACATAGATTGTGAACTATATGTTTTTACATGATTCCTTCTTAATATTAAAGACAGTTTTAATCAAACTAAATCTACAGCCACAAGTGCATCTGGATAGAATGAAGACTTGTTAGAAGCCATGCCAGGATTTCATTACTGTCTGTATTTCACAGGGGAGATTCGCCTTCTAGTTCCTGACGAGTGCTGTCACTGGGAAAGAAAGTGATAGGAAATTCAAAATTTCAAAAACGGGGATAAGGGTAAACCTTTCATATGGGACACCTGTTCTGGTGGCACCTAAGAAGGGATTTTCCCTCCCTTTGGGGAGATGTGAAAGAAAATCTCCTAGTAAAATCTGGCTGTTGGTGCCTTGCCATTTTAAAATGCAGAGAACTGTTTTACTATAGTACTATTTTACATTTTCCAATAAAATTATTAATGTGAAATTTCATTAATTTCTGTGCACCAACACTGAGATGTGGTGTGTAGAAACGCATAAAGAAATGGAGCTGCGGCGCAGGATGGCAAAAAGCTGTCATGTTGCAGATTTGTGGATTGCACTTCAGCTCACCTGAAGGGTGCATTTAAAGCCTCATTCACACGAGCATAGTATTTTAGGGCTGGTCTGCAAAAATCAATATCACACCAGTAACTTACGTCAAGTTCGTGCACAAAACTAGGCACATTTGCTGCACTTCCTTTCCTGACCACCCAGGCTGCATTTTAAAGGTGACAACACGCCCTTCTTTTATGTTTGTTTTTAAAAGTATAGGGCACATTAGAAAAATTGACCAACTAGTTAACAAAGCACGTGATCCCTGGCTGGTTTGTTTACAAACAGAAGCTGGGGGTTTGGACAGGTGAATTGGCCTCACAGTACAGTTTGCTGGGTGGATGGCTCAATCACAAACAGGCTGGATTTGGGTCGAACCCAGAAGCTCGTTCCTAATTTACACTCTCAAGAGTATAAAAGAAGGTAAGAAAGGTGCATGGGTTACTCATATCTTGCTTTCATTTGGGCAGCACAGTGGTTAAATGGGCAGCACAGTGGATAAACTGTATAATTCACAGAAGAAAAAGACATGGGGTAGCACAGTGGTTAAATGGTTAGCACTTTCGTCTGGCAGTACTTAGGTCGTTGGTTCAAATCCCAACCACAGCACCACCTGCCTGGAGTTTGCATGTTCTCCCTGTGCCTGCGTGGGTTTCCCATCTGGGTACTCCGGTTTTCTCCCACAATCCAAAGACATGCTGGTAGATTAATTGGAACCTATCTATAGTGGCCCTAGTATGTATGAATGTAAGTTAGGGACTTTAGAGTGTACACCCCTTGAGGGATAGGGACCGATGTGAATGTACTATATATATAAATGTGTGTGTGTGTGTGTGTAAAGCGCTGCGTAAATTGACGGCGCTATACAAGTACCTGTAATAAATAAAAAAATAAAATACATTTTTATTGCTTTCAGCTTCTTGTACATGTAGATCCAAAGATAATCATATTTCAGGCTTCCTTTTTCCTAGCACAGGCCACAAATTCAGTACAGTTACACAATTAGATTTTGCTTGTATCTGTAGAAATGAAACCCCAAGCATTTACATGGTATTTACCAGGGTTGGCTGGTACCGCTGGTTCCTCTTCAGTGGAGCTCAGGAGTCGCATCAGTTTGGATTGCTGGGTGTCATCCAGAGGAAACAGACTACTGTATCCTTAGTCCTACAAGCAAATAAATGCATATAAGAAGAGCATAGTGCCTTAGTGATCAGAAATTTAGCTCAGGGGTACTGAATTCTGATTACCACGAAGGACACTATATTTTTCTCCCAATTTTTTTGTGTATATTCTAATCTCCTCCAGCAATCCCAAAACACCCCGACAGGCATACTGGCTTTCACCAAAAGCAAAAAGTGTGTTTGTGGAGGAGCCTGCAGTCCTACAAGAGTTAAAAGCATATGTAAACCTTAAATCTATTTTATATAAGGTTTGGCAACACAGTTTTCTTAAGGAAATAACATTTTGTGAATCTCCTGTCTTGTTTCTAACCTAGAGAATTCTGCCAATTACAGCAGTTCAAAGAAACAAAAGGTATACCACTCAGGCAAACAATCCAGATCAATCCACAACAAGTGCAGGCTCTGGCTTGCCACCACACATGATGCAACAGGAAGAAGAGTCAGCCGCACACCGGAGGATAGATGAATATAGTGTATATTTATTGATCCATAGGACACAAAAAACACCAGGAAATGAACACAGGACCTGTTAACGCGTTTCACACGATCTCGTGCTTAATCATAACCAACTTATGATTAAGCACGAGATCGTGTTAACAGGTCCTGTATTCATGTCCTGGTGTTTTGTGTGTCCTATGGATCAATAAATATACACTATATTCATCTATCCTCCGGTGTGCGGCTGACCCTTCTTCCTCTTGCAATAACAGCAGTTTCCATTGCAGGTGGACAACACTAATCTATTGCCTTACAATTAGCAGCAGTGTTGTCAGCCTGTCTTGTATGCGCTTTCAGATCGCAAACTGAGCTGCTTATCTGACAAACCTCAAAGGTAGCCTAAAGTCAATTAAAAATAGCACACATGGAAGGCTGACAACGAAGCTGCTATTTGCAAGGCAGGGAAATAGGGTTGTCAGTCTGCAACAGGAAGTGTTGTTACTAGTAAGATCTTTAGATAAAAAAACCTTACAAACCATTTACAAAAAATGATGATCTGTATAAGAAAACTGTATACAGCAAGGCATGATGCTAAAAATACAGAAAAACACACACATATCTACAGTTATATAAAATGCGCGTGCATTTTTCCAAATGCTGGTGATGAATATATTTATTCTTTCACTTCAAGAGTATCTAAGCTTTGTGTATATATGTATGTACAGTGGGGATCGAAAGTTTTGGGCACCCCAGCTAAAATTTGTATTAATGTGCATAAAGAAGCCAAGGAAAGATGGAAAAATCTCCAAAAGGCATCAAATTACAGATTAGACATTCTTATAATATGTCAACAAAAGTTAGATTTTATTTCCAACATTTACACTTTCAAAATAACAGAAAACAAAAAAATGGCATCTGCAAAAGTTTGGGCACCCTGAAGAGTTAATATCTTGTACTGCTCCCTTCGGCAAGTATCACAGCTTGAAAACGCTTTTTGTAGCCAGCCAAGAGTCTTTCAATTCTTGTTTGAGGTATCTTTGCTCATTCTTCCTTACAAAAGTCTTCCAGTTATTTGAGATTACTTCTGGCCTGTCTGTCACGCACTGCTCTTTTATCTATCCATAGATTTTCAATTATGTTGAGGTCAGGAGATTGTGAAGGCCATGGCAAAACCTTCAGTTTACGCCTCCTGATGTAATCCCCCGTGGATTTCGAGGTGTGTTTAGGATCATTATCCATTTGTAGAAGCCATCCTCTCTTTAACTTCAGCTTTTTCACAGATGGCATCAAGTTACCATCCAAAATTTGCTGAAATGTTATTGAATCCATTTTTCCTTCTACTCGTGAGATGTTCCCTGTGCCACTGGCTACAACACAACCCCAAAGCATGATTGATCCAACCCCATGCTTAACAGTTGGACAGAGGTTCTTTTCATTAAATTCTGTGCCCCTTCTTCTCCAAACGTACCTTTGCTCATTCCGGCCAAAAAGTTCAATTTTAACCTCATCGGTCCACAGAACTTGTTTCCAAAATGCATCAGGCTTGTCTATATGTTCATTTGCAAAGTTCAAACGATGATTTTTGTGGTGAGGACGTAGAAGAGGTTTTCTTCTGATGACTCTTCCATGAAGACCATATTTGTACAAGTATCTCTTTATAGTGGAATAGTGTACGACAACTCCAGTGTCTGCCAGATCTTTCTGGAGGGATCGTGCAGTCAAACGTGGGTTTTGAATTGTTTTTCTCACAATCTTGCGAGCTGTTCTGTCTGATATTTTTCTTGGTCTTCCAGATCTTGCTTTAACTTCCACTGTTCCTGAAGACTGCCATTTCTTAATTACATTCCGAACAGAGGATATTGACATCTGAAAACGCTTTGCTATCTTCTTATAGCCTTCTCCAGCTTTGTGAGCGTCAACTGTTTTCAGTTTCAGTTTTCTAGACAACTGCTTAGAAGAACCCATGGTGCTGATTGTTGGGGCAAGGTCAGATGAGTCTGGGCATTTAAAACCTTTGAGATTGACATCACCTGGTCTTCCCAGATGATGATTGACAACAATCCATGACACTGGAAGGTCTCAGCTTTGCAAAGGGGGCAGTGCATGCTATAAATTCTGCAGGGTGCCCAAACTTTTGCAGACGCCATTTTTTTGTTTTCTGTTATTTTGAAAGTGTAAATGTTGGAAATAAAATCTAACTTTTGTTGACATATTATAAGAATGTCTAATCTGTAATTTGATGCCTTTTGGAGATTTTTCCATCTTTCCTTGGCTTCTTTATGCACATTAATACAAATTTTTAGCTGGGGTGCCCAAACTTTCGATCCCCACTGTATGTATGTATGTATGTATGTATGTATGTATGTATGTATGTGTATTTATATATATATATATATATATATATATATATATATATATATATATATATGCACACACACACGTCTACATACATCTTTATACCTATTCATCTCTTTCTCTCAAGGGCTATAAAACTGGCAATCGCAATCCAAATTCTACATTCGAGGACCTCCCAATTGCATGAATGCTGAACATCTGGCTCAGAATGTACAGGGGTGTACGGAGGTACATAATGTGGGACAGAATAGCTTGCCAAGCTTGAATATTAGGAATAGGCTTGTGAGTGATTTATCCCACGGAGATTCTCCAAAAAATAAAATACTACTTTTGTGCAGTCTTAGCCTTTAGCTCCGGTTCACATATGTACTATACAGGAAACATGAATCCTGTGCGTTTCCAGCATCGCATTGAAATCGCACCGCGTTCATGCTATCTGCTTTGGGCTTCAATGGTAAATTAACAACGCCCCAAAAATGTGGTCCTATTCTGAAACAGCAAAAAAAAAAAAAAGATGCCTGTGCTTTTATTGTGCAAGTGCAATGCAATTTGAGCCCAAACAACATGAACGTGCTCAAATCACACTGCAAAGATTTGCATGTGATTTGAATAGGAATGTGTTGTGATTTCTATCTGAATCACATGTGGTGTCGCGCACTGCCCAAGTGTGAACCCAGACAAAATAAACCATTACACCAGTTGTTTTTTAAAATATTATTTCAAAAATGAATATTGAACTGAGCACACCTCAATGTCTTCTCGGTGTCTTTTCCTTTGCCGTGGGGAGGGCTGTCCTTTGTTTTGGGTGGAGTAAGAAGTCATAGCGCACCAAACAGATAACCTGAAAGAAAGGAAGATGATGGTCAAACAAGATGACAAGCATAAAAAGAGCATGGAGCCAGTGAATGAAAATGCTAATTAAGTGTGGTAAACGCATACTCACTTAGCCAAAGCCCGGCCTGGCGGATCCATTAATGTGTGCCATTTGGCAGAGTCTGTGAGAAGGGAGGGCAGCACATGTCCCAGGAGGGTGAGCGTCAGCTGCTGCATGTCCAGAGAGAAGATAGCATAGAGTAGTTCTACAGCTCGCACTGCAAATTCCAGGCGGGTTTCTTTCAGAAGTTCCTAGACAGAAGAATATCAAAATAACAACCCACTATACTTTAGATTTTTCCATTACAAATAACGCCACAGATGATTTACAATGTAAAGTTACCTTATTATAGTCAAGACAACTTTTTTTTTTTTTTAATTTGTCAGGTAAAATTGAAAGAATGAATGTTTTGTATTTTAAATGCTGCCAACACAAAGCTCAAAGCTCCTTTTTGTGTTTTCCCATTTTTCTTTCTCTGTTGTTAAAAGCTTGTCTATACAGCTCAGTAGCACAAGCTTAAAGTTGCACAAACAAGTGAATAAATCAGAGCAGTGGCTCAACCCCCACTCTCTCCCACCATCTGTACAGCTCTGTTCTAGGTTTTAATTAGAGACAAGTGTCTGAAATATCACAACTTCTGATGTTCTTTCCCATTATTATAATAATGATTTTTATTATAATAGCCAATGAGGAGAGGGAATCCCAGGATCGCCGAGACTCCAGTGCACATGGCTGGATCGAGAGGGGGCTTAGGTGAGAATTAGGGGGGAATGGGGGTGATGCTACACAGAGAAGGTTTTTTTTACCTTCATGCATTTAATAAAAAACCTTGAGCCTTTACAACCACTTTGTTTGGAAGAAACACTCTAGTCTTAGTTTTGTCCAGAAATGGACCGTGATATTCCAAGTGACGAGTCAGAAAAAATGGGGACAAGTACTGTAGGTGTCTGCCCTATTGTCTACAGAAGCCAGAAGGTCTGTTAAAGAGAGGCAAGGAGACATCTGCTTCATTCCACACAGAATTCCTGAGCTCATATGAAGAAAAAATGCTCCCATTCCGCAATTCTAGCAAGTGGAGGTGAACCATAATGCAGAGGAAGGCTTTTATGAACACACTTTGAAATCCAGACCTTGTAGGGTGACTGGGAGCCAAGCTTGGGGCAGTCTTGACATGGTGGATGCTAGAGAGGAGAAATTAAAGTGACATTTCCTAATATATAAAAAAGGGAGAACATTTGCGATCTGTTGCTAAGGCTTCTTCTGATGGGAAATATGAGTGCTCTTGCCACCAGTAGCGTCCTTCATAATAGTATAAAGGGAAGATCCAAAAAGAAGTTTCCCATGCAGAACAGATCTTAGACATGGGTACCACAGTTAAGCACACAAGAGATAAGCCGGGAAAGCCCCCAGAAAACCATGACAACTGAAGTTTAAAGCTATGGCCATTTACTCCATGCATCCTATAAGTAAGGGATCATCCCCAGCAGTAGTAAGATCTCTTTTAGGAAATTATGCCTTGTCAACCACAGCTAGGATGGGAGGAAAAGCAGGGCCAGCAAGCATGAACATAGCTCTAAAGTTAGAAAATAACTTTTATTTTTTTTTAATGACAGTAGGAAAAAATTGAAAAAGCAAAAGGAACTGGAAAAACCCAATACAGCCAAAAAGGACTATGATGGTATGAAGGAATTGCAATACCCCGGGCGCTAACTTAGTACTTGTGACTCTGGTTCTGAGGTATCAGGCATCAGGTGAGAAAGCAAACGATCAGCTTGCGTCATCAGTGGAAAATGACGAATAGAAGAGTATTAAAGGAACTATGTAATTAGCCAGAGAGGAACCTCCTGTAATGGGGTGGAAGAGGCCACCAATTTTAAATAGGTAAAAGCTTTAATAACGTTGACCTATAAGGCAGAATAAAAAAAAGACAATAATGGCTAGGTAAATAACATTTAAGGTGTAGATTGCCTCATAACTGTGCCTTTAAAATTGCACATGTGCTTGACACTACCTTGTAGGATAAAAATTACAGATCCAAGTAATGATCCAACAAGACATGTATTGCCAGGAACTGGAATGTAAAAGTACAGAGAAACTTTGTTTTACCCTGTCCATGGTCCTGTCTAGGGTCCAGATTTCACCGGTCAGAGTGGGCATACCATACCTTCAAAGGGGTCTTCAGGGTCTGGGTGCCATAGGAATGGACAACTGCCATGGATTTGTATAGCATCCCATAGCTAACTTACTCATTGTACCATGTGCCAAGATGAGTGGCAAATGCAGGATTGGGTGCCCACAGCAAACATTACAGTCCATGGGATCTGGGTATGGTTCTCAAGGTGTATACAGCAAGGGTAATCAATATGGAAACTGCTAGTGAGCCACAAGGCAGTAAGCAGTCAGATACTGATAGAAGTGTCAGTCGAAGAAGAAGAAAAAGAAAACTGGTAAAAATCTGAAAAAAGTCTTCAACGGCAGAAGGGGTCCATCAGGAGAAGGCGATCCCACTTTTGCCAGTGTCCAATCATCTAGAGCAGGGGTCTCCAAACTTTCCAAACAAAGGGCCAGTATACAGTCCTTAAGACCTTGTGGGGGCCAGACTGAGGATAATAGGAGTAGAAAATGTCCTGGTGTTAGTGGGAGTAAAACAATGAATCATCATTGGTGTCAGTGGTAGGAATAGTGCCCCATCGTAGGTGTCATTAGGAGGAATTGTGCCCCTTCATTGGTGTCAGTGGGAGGGCATATGCTCAATTCTTGGTGTCATTGGGAGGAATTGTGCCCCCTCATTGGAGTCATAGGAAGAACATATCCCCAATTGTTGGTGTACTTAGCAGGAATTGTGCCCTTCATTGGTGTCAGTGGGAGGACATATGCCCAATTGTTGGTGTCAATAGGACGCATGCCCAACTGTTGATGTCGGTGGATGGAATAGTGCCCCAAGGGTCAGACAGAAGCAAGCAAAGGGCCACAGTTTGGAGACCCCTGATCTAGAGATAGCAGCATATAAGCCAAGATCTAAGAATCGATTCCTTAATCCTGTACTGTACGAGTTCTCCAGATTTTAGTTGCTGCATGCTTGTTTCAGATTAGTGACCCAGAAAGTTCCAAGACCAGAGACAGCTAGAGATTTTGTTTTTCTAGAAAGAAGTTAAAAGCAGCAGCTTCATATTTCTTTGAGTAAAGGTTCTGTTTAAGCGGAGTGCACACATGAGAAAATGTGGGGAATATCTTAGATTTAAGTGACCTTAGTATCCAGAGCATAGGCAAATTAGATCTGGACCTAATTAGATCTGTCCAGCCTTATGAAATGTAATGTGCAGAGGGAAAAGCAGCACAAGGAGCCAATCAGTTGTGTAGCAGTGCTCATGTGCGGACAAGGGGCTTGCCCTAGAAGAGAGTAGAGTAACAGTGAGATGAGCTCATCAACCTGCTGCTTCCCATTTCACTGCCCAACCACAAGCTGGATGACAAACAAAACCTGCAAATGTTACCCAACTTCCCTCCTAGATTGTAAGCTCCAAGGAGCAGGGCCCTCCTATCCCTCTTGTATTGAACTGTATTATTGCTGTATTGTCTCCCGTTATATTGTAAAGTGCTGAGCAAACTGTTGGCGCTATATAAATCCTGTATAATAATAACTGCAGCATAGAAATTCAGGTATTTTGCACTGTGCAGAGATATGTACATCTCAGGGCTGGATGGACAGAAATACAAATTCTTTGACAGGTAAGAGCTCCCCGACAGTATATGCATTTTATGGCGTTCAGGGTTTACTTTAAGCACTTCAATATATACATATCAAATAGCACCTGCACTAAACACTGATCACCTCAAAATTGAGTCAGTTTCTTATAATCCTGGCCATGCTACCATCTAGAGTTGAATCATTCATACAACTGCAGCTGCCATTATTCATCTAAACTTTAGATTATTCATCTAAACTGCACAATCCTTCTTAGACATTGTAAAAGCAGGTACAATATATAAACTGGTGCCACAATGCAATCCTCCACAAAAAAAAAAATCAAGGACAGCTATTAAAGGACTTCCAAGTAAATGCAAACTTATGTTATGACAAAACCACAGTAATAGTCACAGTTATATACTTGCATTTATTCCTATACAACATTATGTTTGTGGTGCACCTTTCATCACCATTCTTTAAAAGTTTTATCAGACCTTGAAAGATTCATGGTACCGTGTTCGAATGAACCAAGGCTTAGCAGAAAGGATAAGTCTTTTTAAAGGAGAACACAACTGTCCTTAACATAAAATCCCTGAAGGCGGAGCACAGTGATTCAACATTAGGATTGTATTCTTCAACAGTAGCTCTCCAAGGCCACAAATATATTCAAGCAAGTGAATATTGTTCTGCTTATTGTATGGTCAAATCACACAAGTGTAGCACAGCAAACAAGGCTATAAAACACAAACAAACAAAAAACCTCCTTTAACATAAGGGGGATAGGATAGAGAGGAAAGATGGTCATCCAGTCTAATTAAAGGACAGCAGGGGGCGCCACTAAGTGCAGTATTTAAAAAAACACTTTAATAATACATCAGTATTGCACTCACATATTAGTGATGGCTATGTCGCTTGTAAGCATAGAGATCTTTAGAATCGTTTAGAGCTTTTAAATCTCTCTGCTTACAAGCGACATAGCCATAGCTAATATGCGAGTGCAACACTGATGTATTATTAAAGTGTTTTTTTTTTAAATACTGCACTTAGTGGCGCCCCCTGCTATCCTTTGTCCTTACAGAGACATGCTCCAGTCTCTTGGTGGAGCTGCCAACTCCTTGTATAATCCAATCATTATGGACTTTGTTTATGGACTTTATACGTGAACATTGTTCATAATTTTAAGTTATTTAGGTTCTTTCATCAATTCATTACATAATCCTTTAGTGCACGAGTGTCAAACTGGCGGCCCTCCAGCTGTTGTGAAACTACAAGTCCCATCATGCCTCTGCCTTTGGGAGCCATGCTTATAACTGTCAATCTTGCAATGCCTCATGGGACTTGTAGTTTGGCAACAGCTGGAGGGCCGTCAGTTTGACACCCCTGCTTTAGTGGTAAGTGTTCCTTGTTATCAGGAATTGCGCCATACAATTTTGTATTTTATTGATGGTCATCCAGTCTGCAGGCTTTTCATTGCAGTATCTTTAGAGGAAAACACTTCCATAAGGATGGAGATAATAAAATCTCCACTTTTAATTGAAAACTTCAAAAATACCTCCTCCTGAGGAGGATGCCATGTTTGCGAAGAAAGGCATCAAGGTTTTAGGGAGTTTTAATTGCCTTGATCCATGTAGAAGTGTTTTTTTTTTGGTCTACCTTGCCCTGTGGACTAATAACTTACAAAGCGCCAACGCCATGGCTTTCTCAATTACATGGTAATCATTTCAGGTAAGCCTCTACATGTGAGCGTGTTACCATAAATTAAATCAGTAATAAACCTAAACACAAAAATGTAATATATTGCAGCTTAACAATCATTAGATGTGTTTGCATTAGTTTTCTTTTTTAGGCTTTTCACTTGGTAATCTGGCCAGTAACACACCTCCTGTATTAAGAGTTCCTCTGGACAGCAGCATTGTTAATCTTGGGTGAAGGGAGTGTTAGAGTAACCAGCAGATTTAGCTACACTAACAAATTGAAGCCAAACTCCATCTCACACTTTCTAAGTAGTTTCAGAAGTTATTTTTTTTTTGGGGAAAAGGTTTTACAAAAATAAATAAAAATTGATCATCGTAAGCACCCCTGTCAGTAGTAAATGTTTTGTCTCATCCCTCTAACTGCTACAACTGCAGGAGAGCTTGTGCTTTTGAAAATCAACAGACTTACTGGCTGGATCAGTAGGCGAAAAAATAGAAGAAAGCAAGTCTAAAAAAGAAAACTAATGCAGCCATCACATCTAAGAATTTGTAAACTGCAATATAATACATTTTTGTGTTTAGTTTTAATACCACTTTAAATTGATACACTTATCTCACATTATGTGACACAACTGAGCAACAGTGTTGAAGATACAGCAATGAAAGACCTGCAGATTGGATGACTATCAATCCTCTATCCCTGTCAGAGGAATTCATTTCTATAAGCTTGTTTGCCGTGTCATATTAATGTGTGATTTCGGCTACACAATAACATGAGCATTATTTCCTTAAGAGGATATATTTGTCAACATCTCGATAATCTTCAAGGCTCCCCAGTTTCTTTCTTGGTTTCCAGTGCCTCTTAAGAGAAAATGGCACCATTCAGCTGGTGTAATATCAGAATATTCAGACTAACCTAGTCATTAAATTCTACATTTTGACTGTGAGAGTCACACCGTGAGCGTCATTGACTGTCAGATCTCAGGTGAACTGAGATCTGGCAGTCGACGTGGCGCCTGACCTAAAGCAGATAAAACAATGCCTTACTTAGCCACTTGCCCTCCAGAGGATTTACCCCCTTTCCTCACCAGGCCATTTTTTGTGATACGGCGCTGCATTACTTTAAATGACAATTGTGCAGTCATGCAACGTTGTACATAAATGAAATGTATGTCCTTTTCCCACAAATAGAGCTTTCTTTTGGTGGTATTTGATCACCTGTGCAGTTTTTATTTTTTGCACTATAAACAAAAAAATACCAACAAGTTTGAAAAAAAAAAATATTTTTTATTTATATTTATATGTTTATTAAATATATATATATATTTTTGCTATAAAACATATCCAGTAAACAAAAAAAATAATCTAATTTCATCATAAAATTTAGGCCAAAATGTATTCTGCTACGTCTTTGCTAAAATAAATTCCCAATATGTGTAAATTAATTGGTTTACGTGGAAATAAATTTATATATATATATATATATATATATATATATATATATATATATATACACATACACACACACACACACACACATACACACACACATACACATACATATATACATACATACATACATACACTGGAATTTTTTTTTTCTTTTTTATACTAGTAATGGTAGCGATCAGCAACTTATAGCGGGACTGCGGTGGGCATTCTGACACTGGGGGGGATCTAACTGCTACATACACCCCCAGTGACACGAATACAGTGATCAGTGCTAATAAAAAGCACTGACACTGGGCAGGAAGGGGTTAACATCTGGGCGATCAAAGGGTTAACTGTATGCTGTCTCACTAAGTGTGCTGTGTGTTTTACTTGGGAAATATACTGCTGTGTATTTCTCTGCTGTGCACACAGGTCTCTCCCCTGTCAGTGATAATCGGTGATCGCCGGGTGATCTCCGACCGGGACTCAGTGATCGATAGCTGTCGCCGCCAAAGGCAGCGCGGGTAGGGTGGAACGCGCGCCCCCCTACCCGGTAATGCAAAATCACTTGTATATACACGTGATTTTGCGCAGCCGTGCCACCCTGTAGCAGTAGCTCTGCTATAGGGCAGTAGGGAAGCGGTCCTTGTCCTTAAATGGTAGATCTTAAAGGTAACCTGTACGTTTCCTATGCAAGGCACAGTAAAAAGGTTAGCCAATTGGAACTGCAGCAACGGATTTGTATTTTAAAATTTTTTTTAAAAGTCAATATTTGTAAAAACACTAAAACTCAGTAATTTTTTTTGGTTCTCCCCTGCAGGCCCCTTGTTCCCTGTACACATTGTTATTCAAGCTTCCGCCTCATGTGCTGGTGTCCACTTCCTACATTGAAAGCCTACCACTGCTAACAAGTTCCCCCACATGTGCATCGTGCTTGTAAAATAGCTTCCCACAGGGACTTCTATTGTAGGATGTTCTAATAATGCCAGCAGACTGACTGCCTACATCACCCTAGTATCAGAACTTCCTATTCTGTCACTATGCAGATGCCAAGAATAAGAATGTCAGGGTGGGCATACAGCCCACTAGCTACATTACTTAATACAATATGAAGCTCTCTTTGGCCCTTTCAAAGAAAAAAACAAAGCAAAATCTGTAAGTGAAATTAGGAAACAGTTTAAAAGGAAAGTCCCATTTAATAGCCCAGTCTTTCATACCTGCTTTTAATCTAAAGCACGACTAAACTCAGCGATAGCAATACAAAATCCTGGGCCACACTTCAGAGCGGCCCAGGGCATTGTACTGCTGTGGATGGATGGAGCAGTATGTGCGCCTTGAGAGACCAACACCTAGAGCAGAGAGAGAAAGCCAGTGGGATGGTATGCAGGCTTTGAGTGGCATCATATCTGTCATATGGAAAACTCTGTGATACCTACCTTTGCATCAATGGTCCGATGTGCGACTTCTCCCGGCTTTTGTTCGATGCTGTTTTTCGGCCATTGTGACTGGCTGGCAAATGCGCAGGAGTGCAGTTATCCCAGCACATAGGCATTTTGCCAGAACATAGACTAAGCGGTTGATATCCACAAATGTTAGACAACAGAGAAGCAGGCAGGGGAGAGTTGGCTGTTGAACACTGGAGAAGGTCCAAATAGGAAATCTCCAGAAACAAGACATGCTGGATATAGGAGTTGGAAGCGCTGATTCAACATGAGGAGGTGAAATCGTAAAGTTTAGAGATTTCCCTGTAGTGGTACCATTGGTGGAGTATGTGGAAAGAGTAGTTCTGCTACATCATAAGCACATATTGACCTACTTAGCTCCCTTGCCCCGGCCGTGCGCATATATGTGGTCTCTCGGTGGGTGGGCCTTAACGTCGAGAAGCTGCATATATGCATACCTAAAGATAAACAGACCTATGCCAAGAACATGCGCTCTGTGCACTCCCAGCGCTTAATGGAAATCTTCTAATCTCTACTTGAGATCAGGAGCTTTCCAATCATGTGACTGCTGTGACAGCCAATCATGGTGGTCACAGAAAAAGACCGGGAAGCGCCGACACCAAGGAGTTATTGAATAAAAAGGGTCAACTATTTCCGGTGCGTGAGTGCTGTTTAAGGGGTCACTACAGAACGTAGCAGCACCCAGTGGGGGTTAAAGACACACACATGCACATTGTATTTATGGTTCAAATTTAAAGATGTTTCTATGCACTTTATTTGTCACGTTATACGCATGTTTACGAACTGTGACACATTGCATGTTGAGGTTATATTTATATGGTTATCATTAGGTACTTATATTATCTGCACTGAGCACTTTGGATATTTATTTGTGATTGATTATATTAAAAGGCTAAATTTATGTGTTCAGGTTGCGCTGCCTCTCTTAGTTCCTTTTTTGCTTTTAATGCGATTGACAGATTGCATCATAAATGTACTTTATTTTGCCCATGGTTCCACTTTAGAAATTAGAACTCTGTACTGCACTTTGTAACAGAAACTCAATAGAGAGTAAAGCTAGGTGGCACATTTACATCTTTGATGTAGGCCCACATGGTTAATTGTATTGTAGAATATTCAGATTCTTGCATAAGCCCTATGGTTCAGATTCTCTTTACAGCACACAGCAGTCAAAGTTTTGCATTTATACAGACACCAACATATGGTACAACATATGAGTGGTATCAACCAACAAACTCTCCGTACCTTAACTAAGTTGTTGCAGAACCAGTAGACACCTCCCATCTGAAGCAGTGTGTCAAAGATGTGCAAAGATCGGATGTCCACCCAGCCTTTCTCTAAAGTGGTGGTGAAGGCTCCATGTAAGACTTCTTTAATTGGCTTCTTTGGGGGCAGCCGGTGAACATATGGCACAGGCTCACTACCCGTTACTGCAAATTTGATCTGTGTGGCTGTCTGCTGTAGGACTTCAGAGCACATGTTCTCCAGGATGGAACTCATGATAATGACTCTAAGCAACAGAGAAGTTGATAAGTACATTGCAAAGATGCTGAAAAGAATAAAACAAACAATAGAATAAAATAACATACCGCTCATTGTAAAACTGCAGAATGTTGTCTCCATACATGGGTGTTCCCAGCTGCCGAATCATCTGCAAAGACTTGTCCCGCTCATCTAGACCCAACATCCGGACATGAGCCACCAGCCAGGCTACAGCACACACAGCCAGGCTGCAAACCTTCCCTTTAATATTATCTGTGATTTTCTGCCATGCACATACACAAAGAGAGAAAAGATATTAGGAGGAGGCGAGAGTTATATGCCCCAATATCTGTCTACTAGGAGGAGGAAAGAAGTATGTGTATTTATATTTGGAGGAAGTGAGTGGTATGTATATCAGTGAAAGGTGTAATATGTGTCCTAAGATCTGAAGGAGGGAAGAAGTGTGTTCCCAGATCTTTTTATAAGCAGGAGGAGGAGGGTACATGTCCTGAGATCTATGGATTCACAAGAGGGACAGACACATGTTCACGGATCTTTGTATTGGCAAGAGGGGAGAGGCACATGCCCGGAGATCTTTGATGCAGTAGGGGGGAGTGGCACGTCCCCAGAGATTTTTGATGTAGTAGGGCGGAGAGGCACGTGCCCAGAGATCTTTGATTTAGTAGGGGGGAGAGGTTCATGCCCTGAGATGTGTATTTACAGGAGGGGGAAGGTACATGTCCTATTAGGAGAAGGTGAGTGGTATGTCTTGCTGTCAGGGCATTATGAGGAGTTAAATGGTCCTTTAAGAGCACCTTAAGTCTCTCTCATCTGCGTCTTTTTCTACATACAGTACCCCCTGCTCCTCCAACCTGTAACATACTTTTTAATAGGTTTACATAATGAAAAAAAAATGTGTGGGTAACAAAGACTTTTGGTCTGCATTATAAGAGTGCACAACATCAATACAATTCTAAACACACAGATTTACCTGAATGGCTTCAAATGACAAGACTCCATTCTCCCAGGCATTATGTACCTCTAGGATTGCAGCTGGAATGCTGAGACAAACCTCATGCCATTTTGTCTGACTGTGAACAGCAATAAACAAAGACAACAGAGCTCACTATCTTCACAGCAAAACATTTTCATACAAAACAGCTTTAGGCAGAGATTAATAACTGTGAAGGACATGAAAACCTGTGCTTCAGTTTAGTCAGGGCTTTTTCAGTGGGAATTGGGGTAACGCAGTTCCGGCACTGAATACATTTAATGGCAAGGGGTGTTGGGGTATGCTGGAGGGTCTACTGATGCTGGCTGCTGGGGGATCTATTGTCACTGGAGGGAGTCTATTTTTGTGTGTGTGTGGGGGGTCTATTGTTTTTGATGGGGATTCTATTGTTGCTTGGGGGGGTGGGGGGAGTCGTATGTTGTCGGAGGAGGGGAGTGTCAGTTGCTGGGAGGGATCTACTATTGAGGGAGAGGTCCATTGATGCTGGGGGATCTGTTGTTGCTGCTTGGGGGGTCTATTGTTGCTGGAGTGGTATTTTCTTGTGGGGGTCCATTGTTGCAGGGGAGATCTTTTGCTGGGTGGTATTTTGCTGTGGGGTCAATTGTTGCTGGGGGAGGGTTTATTTTTGTATTGTTGCTTGCTGCAAGGGGAAATATTTTACTACTTTTCTTGTTATCAGTGAAAAAAAATCCATACAAATTACATAGCATCACAAAATGATACTTGGTTCTCTATTCTCTAAAAGGGGCAATTCTTGGAGGTGGGCAAGAGGAAGAACCAAGTGATGGCGCTCAGAGGTGGTTGGGGGGGGGGGGGGCAAGGGGTGATTCCGAAAGGGGGAGTTCCTGCACCTATTCTCTGATGAAAAAAAAGCCCTGAGTTTAGTAATGTATTCAATAAACCCAGCATGTGACAAGTCATACAATCAATCTATACTTACATTAGCTTCATCTCTGTGGATGTGTTAAGAAGTGCCACTAAGGCTTCTACTTTGGGGATATCAGGATGGCGGAAACAGGGGTGCTCTGGATTCAAGACTTTGCCCTCTCCCGGCATACAAGTTTGCATCCAACTTTCAAAGAAAGGGGTCTCTGAACCAGTACTTCCATCCGACAGGATCATCTAACATATAAAAAAAAATATATTAATATGTTGGATATTTAAATGCGCAGATTGCTAACAAATTTCACTAGGCTGCACTTGGAGGGAGCACGGAGGAGTGGAGGAACAAGTAAGTAAATCGTCATTAACGTGTTGCTGGAAAAATAACAAGTATGTGTGGCAGTAAAAGGGTGGGCTTTAACACTCACATGCAGCATATATGCATCGCTGAGGAGGGCACTCCCTGCATGCTTCCAGCGCAGAGACCGAGTGGCGAAAGACAGCTCCAAGTCCCTACTTGTGATTGGGAACGACTTTTGACCAAGAGATCACTGTGACAGTCAATCACAGTGGTCACATAGTCATCAATCCTCTCCACTCCCTGGGCATGCAGAACATCTTAAAGAAATGTTAAGGCAGGACGAAATGAGGAAGAGTTAGTTTTAATTAAGTTAATTGGCAACAGTTCAGTAACATGCCAAGGTATAAAAAAAGAATCTTGGAGAGTCAGAGTGTCTCAGAATTAAAGATGAACAGTGGTTCACCACCTGCGAAAATTGTCAATTTCAGAATAATGTTCCTCAACGTAAAATTACAAAGACTTGAAATATATCATAATCTACAGTATACAATATCATCAAAAGATTCAGAGAATCTGAAGAAATCTCTGTGTGCAAGGGACAAGGCTGAAACGCAATACTGGATGCCTGTGATCTTCGGGCTTTCAAACAGCATTAAAAACTGCCATGATTCTGTGATTGACATCACTGCATGGGCTCAGGAACACTGTCTGAACGGGGATCGCTGCACCATCCAAAAATGCAGGTTAAAGCTTCATCATGCACAGAAAAAGCCATATCTGAACATGATCCACAAATGCCGCTGTCACCTCTGGGACGAAGCTCATTTGAAATGGTCTGTTGCAAAGTGGAAAACTGTTCTGTTGGCAGACAAATCTAAATTTGACATTCTTTGTGGCAACCATAGGCACCCTGTCATCTGGACTAAAGAAGAGAGATACGTCAGTTCAAAAAAACCTGCATCTCTGATAGTATAGAGGTGCATTAGTGAATATGGAAAGGGTAGCATGCACATCTGGAAAGCACCATTAATGCTGAAAGATATGTCCAAGTTTAAGAGCAGTGAATGCTCAGGCAAGAATGGGACAACATTCTTCTCCCAAAACTTCAGCGATTGATCACCTCAGTTCCCAGGGTAGTTAAAAGAAGAGTTGATGCTACATCGTCATAAACACGGCCTTGTCCCAAGCTTTTTGAGACGTGTTGCTGCCATCAATTTTAAAAATTATTACCTTTTTTTTTTTCTTAAAATGGTACATTTTCTCAGTTCAAATATGTTTTCGATAATATGTAACGATATGTTTTCTATTGTGAATAAAATGTGGGTTTATGAGATTTGCAAATGAAAATAAATAAATTTTACATAATGTCCCAACGTTTCAAATAATTGTATTCTGTTTTATGTAGATTGTACATAATGTCCCAACGTTTGTGGGGTTGTACCTTCAAAGAAACCTTACCAGTCACTTTTGTCTCTATAGGCGAATTTCCTAGTTTCTTAAAATTAACCTCATGCTTCAAAACTAAAATTGCCCTAAAGAGCGACTCTGTGCTCCCTAACAGCCCCCAACCCAGGTCAGTCTTTTTTTTTTTTTAGATACTTTCAATCAAGACACCCACAGCACCAGCAGACTCCTAGCAGAATGAGTTCTTGTATTGAGGCGTTATTGGAGAATACTGGCAGCTATAGTTTAATGGAGTTATAATGACATATATATAGAAAGAAGTCCCCTGACACTCAGGATGGCCCCTCTCCCCAGCAAATACTGATTACTCCGCTGCTGATATGCAATCTGTCAGTACTAATGTGATCAGTAGAAGAGCAGAGTATTTATCATTCACCGCTGACCTGCTGCCTCAGGCTGGGAAAATAATGGTACCCTGCTAACTCCTTCTGCTCTGTGACTGACCATTGTGCACACATATGAAACACCCTGACATTTTGTAGGCTGGGGTAATATTTCAGAGAATGCAGCTTACTGTATATATTCAATAGGATCTAATGGCCTCGTTGAGGCGCTTTTAGACCTCGTACAGCAAAGGTTCCCAGTGAATTCATACACATAAATAGCCAGTTGTACCCCTATGGTTCAGTCATCATGCCGTAGAAGCAAATGTGAAATTATGGACCCACTTGTGTCTTCCTCATAAAAACACAGACATGTTTAATAAATAATTGTATTTATGAATACAGAAGTTGCCATTAATTTAAAGGTTTTTTTTTTTTTTTTTTTTACATGCTTTCATTTATTGGGTCACCACCCTAGAACAAGCATGTGCATATAAGGTATCCAACATGTGCTATGCACATGTTTGTTTCAGTTCAGCAACTCACCATGAAAGGAGCTTAAAGGTGACAACCCTGAAGCTTGGACCTTCCAACACAGTCAGCAATGGCAGCTCCACTACTACTTTTCAAAGCCCCCCCTCAACATAGCCGTGCTATTTACACCTCTAATTACAGACTTCAGATTAGTGGGCAAAAAAGAGCAGGTGTTGCAGCCCACCCCAGGCAGCGATCCTGCCAAAACAGTACTGCTCACATGCAACCTTTTTAGCACAGGTCCTAATGGGAGAAGCTGTGCAAGGCTGCAAGATAACAGCTTCTCCATTAGGTGCCACCAAGAAATGGTTACAAATACGGTTCTTGATGCTGTGTAGCCCAGAGGCTAAAAGGAAGAGGGGACCTCAGCCAGGCATAGCCAATGGCTCCCAGTACATGTCATCCATTGATCTGAGGTGTATTTTCATGTCTAACTAGTCTGATAGTCAAAGAAGGCAACTAAGCTCAAAATTTTCGTTATCAAAGTACACCTGTCAAAAATGCGAGCAATTTTTTGCTGCCTTTCTTGAATGTAGTTTTTATATTTCTGAATGTGGTTGCAGGCCTTGTGGTCCTCTGTCTTACACAATGTTCTCTAGAACCCGGCGTGGGTATTATATGTGAATTTTTTGTGTTTGTTGTATGTTTCCCTATCCTCTATTGTTTGTTGTCGCTTTGTACCATACGATTTGTCATGGTTTGTTTGATTCTTTCAACATGCTTAATAAAATCTTTGGTAAAAGAAAAATGCAAGCAATTCAACGTGAAAACATAATGAAAAGATGCCTAACCAAAGACTGCCTTCAGTGCAAACCATATGCTAATGTGATTGGTAAATCAACAAATACATGCTCTTAGTTATTAAAGCTCAGGTTTGCAAACTGGATGCTACCACCACACAACGGGCATCCCTTTTTCGAGGGGCTCCAAGGGTGCTCATGAGATGGAAAAACTGTATGGAGGCAAAGTTAGGGCTGTTACATGGCTACACTATGGTACACTTAAAGCTGGCCATAGATGAGTCAGTTTTTTTCGTTCAACTAGTAGGCTGAACTGACCCACTTTCCCCTTCCATACATTTGAGGTGGATGGGGGAATCCTTCCTGCCGTGCCTTTGCAATCTGACAGCGAGGAAACCTCCCCACCGTCAGAATACATAGATGATTGAGTGGATTTTTCTCCAACAGGAAATGTACAGACATCGATTGGTAGATCGACTTCTGTTCATCCACAGTGGCCATATATGGATTGAAATTTGGCCAATCCCTTCTGAACCATCTGAATTTTGATACATGTTTGAGTCGGCTTTAAACATGCCAAGCAAATCAGCTGCAGTGACTGTTTGGGCTGTAGACCGAAAACATTCCTGTCGGCCGTCGGGCGAAAACATCCCTCTTGGCCGTCGGGTGAAAACATCCCATTGGGCCGAAATGAAAAAAAAAAAAAAAGCAACTATACAGTTGCCAAAAAAATCCCACCCCTCACCGCTGCCGCCACCGGCTGCCGCTCGGTAGTTCTCAGTTCTCCACTCCGTCCTAGATTGTAAGCTTGAAAGAGTAGGGCCCTCTTACCCCCCGTACGCTGTCTGTTTTTGTGGTACTGTGCCATGTATTGTCCCCCTATTGTACAGCGCTGAGCAAACCCTTTGGCGCTATATAAACTCGATGTAATAATAATAATAATAATAATAATTACCTGAGAAACCATCAATCCCGCCGCTGGGCATAGAGATGAGTGAAGGAAAGATGGCCGCCACTCATCTCTATGCCTTTGGAGGACCGGAGCAATGTCACTTCCTGTTCCGGCCATTTTTTTTTTTTTTTTTACTAGATCAATGCTTTTTTTTTTTATCTAATGCTTTACATTGCAGAGGAGTGATGTGGGGTCTTATTGACCCCATATCTCTCCATAAAGAGGACCTGTCACTAATTATTTCTATCACAAGGGATGAATGCATTTCTTGTGATAAGAATAAAAGTGATTAAAAATTTTTTAAAGGGACAGTGCAAAACAAAAAAAAAAAACTAATTAAAAAGAAAAAGTTAAAGTGCCCTCACCCCCCCGTACTCGCACGTAGTGGTGAATGCATACGTAGGCCATGACTTTTAAGTACTGTAGTTGCACGCCATTCCACAAGCGTGCACAATTTTAAAGCGTGACATGTTGGGTATCTATTTACTTACCATAGCATCCTCTTTCATATACTACAAAAAAATTGGGGTATATATTTTTTGCTTTGTTTTTTTTAATCAAAGTGTATTTTTTTCCAAAAAATTTATACTCATTTTTAAAAACTGCGCATTTCTGAATTCGGCCAAGTGCATTTTGAATTTTTTTTTGTTTTCTGTACCAGAATTTTCATTTCTGGTGCACCACTAACTTTCACACAAACCAATTTATATACACTTATTGGGATTTTTTTTTTTTTTTTATATGAAAGACATGTAGCAGAATACATTTTGGTCTAAACTTATGCAGAAATTTTTTTTTATTCTTATTGTATATGTTTTATAACAGAAAGTAGAAAATATCAGTGGTTTGTTTTCAAAATGTTAGGTCTTTTTTCATTTTTTATAATAAAAAAATATATATATATATATATATAATAGAAAAGCCCAGTGGTGATCAAATACCACCAAGAAAACTATTTGACTGAAAAAATGTAAATTTTCATACAGTGTGGCATGACTGTACAATTGCCAGTTAAAGTAGTGCAGTGCGAAATAGCAAAAAATTGACCTGGTCACGAAGGGGGTAAAACCTTCCAGAGGGCAAGTGGTTAAAGCTCAATTCCAACATTTTTTTTTTTTTTTTGGTTAGAGTGGGGAAAGGTTTTAGCCTCCGTTAGATCTGTATTGCTCCCCAACAGGCACACAGACAAAAAAAAACAAAAAACTGTTTTTCAGTTCTATTACTGAGGAGCTTTTGTTTACTTCCTCTCTCGGTGACCACAGGGGAAGGGATGAAAAATTGGCCAAATAGCTACAAACCAGCAGTAAAAGCCTTACACAGTATTACCCCCACCTCTCCTTCCACAACACATACACTTTTAGATTGTGCTTTAAACCAACAGCTGAATATACAGTTGAAATATATAGCCTGGAGCTGTTTTACCTGCCAAAATAATTGTAATGCTGTCCATCCAGTCCTGAGATTTATATAACACTACCTGACCATACAGCCAGGTTGGTGACCTGATTTTTTACCACTGCAGTTAAAGCCCAACTCCATGAAAATCTAAAATGATCTCCTGCAGTGGGGTTGTGCCCAGTCTGCAAGGGGCAAGTAGATTGTTTCATCTATGGGGGAGCAGCACATTTACTTACCTGATCCTCTGCTCCCCTCGCAGCTGGTGCTCCCCCATTCTCTTGTGGTGGACTGCACCCTGTTGTCATCACATCCAATGCAGGGATTTGGACCCTGCTTTGGTCTTGGTGCCCTCAGAAACCTAGACCACTTGAACATGGGGGAGAAGAAGCAGCTGCGAGGAGCAGTCTACCTGTGGAGGAGTGCAGGATCGGGTAAATAAATACTCTGTTTGTAACACTTGCAGTGCAGGCATGATGGTTTATTTTTTAGTTTCCCGGAGTTGGGATTTAAGCAATAAAAGCTTAGTCACCTCAGTGCATGTAATTGAACAGTGAAGGACCAGCAGCAGTTCACCTCTTTGCTCAAACTGCACTCTCCTCCTTTCAGCAAGTCATTGTCATCACATATGCATGCTGTACACCTGATTGACACCTAGTACTGCCAATCTCTCTCCCAGTCTGAGTGCTGCAGTTTAGGGGATTATGAGAGACTTCTACTAAGTCAAACTCAGATACTTATACTAGTGCCATTTAGAATAAATGTTATATGCCTTAAATGTTACTAAACCCCAGGAGCCTGCATTCATTCTAGCTGGTCTCCAACAGTACACACTACATGGAAATGCAATTATTTTAGTAAATATAAACTGCTAAATACCTTTTCTCATCAGCAGATAGAGTAGTCTTGTGACTTCTCTCAGTGTCCAGCAGGGCACTGGTTACAGCTTGTAGGAGGAGTTTTCTTTCTGCTCTAAGAAAATGCAGAAACTCTGATGCTTTGTACAGCACAGATTGGCTCTGTGCTAATCACATGCACACTCCCAAGAAAAAAACCCAAAAAACAAACCTCTAGCAAACTGAGCATGTACAGAGCATCTCCACACTATATGTGTTATCAGGAGATAAAAAGGGGGTACTGGAAGAAGGGGAGGATCAAAGACGTCAGGATCAAACAGTACTTTTACACAATATAGAGGATTAACCACTTAGGTTCGACAGTGAGTATGACAAGCATGCTTTACTGCATATACAGACTGATTTTACTGTTGTGGGTTTAGTAACACTTTAATTCGTTTTTTTCCTTTTACATGCTTGGAGATCCCCTTTAGGCTAAATTGCCATGGCACATCCTCAATCCTCTACATTCTCCTATGAGCAATATACTTGGTGCAGCTGTCATAAAGCATAAACAAAATAACCTATTCAAAAGAAAATGCAGAGATTCCATTTTGATCAATGACACTGTAAGAGCACAAACAACAAACCCACATATGACAGCATCAAGTCTTCCAGTTTCCCTGGACAATGAACATATTCTAATAAATTTTTATTGCCACAGAGCAATTTTAATTAAATGAATCAGACTTCGTGTGCATTAGTGTACACTCTAGAAAGGATCATTAATCAGCCATTTGACTTTACCCAAAGTCCATTCAATACCACAAGTAAAGAGCTCCCTCTTGTGTATGTAAATGACCTCTACTATAGTAATCATGCCTTAAAGCGGTCATAAAGGCTAATTATTTTTTTTCCCTAAAATAATAAACATGTTATACTTACCTGCTGTGTGCAATTGTATTGCACACAGCCCTGCACCTTCTCTTCTGCGGTCTCTTTCTGCCGTTCTTAGTTCCTCTTCTGTGTGTGCTGCCACTGCAAGCCGCTTGCTATGGGGCACACCTGTGGGCTTGCTCCAAAGTCAGACTGTGTGCATCCATAGACATACACAGAGAAGCTCAGCCCCTGCTCACTCCTGACAGGAGTTGATTGGCAGCAGCGGAAGCCAATGGCTCCCACTGCTGCCTCTGTGTCCTATACGAGGAACACAGACGATCACTACTGGGATATTTTTTTATCTTAATGTAGGGAATGCATTAAGGTAAAAAATGTCTTGCCTTTACAAATACTTTAAAGCCAACCCGTGCTTTGCTCATGTAGAAATTTGCTGCTGGGGAGGGAGGCTTTAAAACAGAGCTCCATGCAAACATCTAAATACAAAAATGCAGTACATAATAAAGGGAGTGGATATACCTGACAAACAATTTGTATTTCTATCGATCCAGTTCTGAGATGTGCACAGCTCTGTTACGAAGCACAAGAATGACACTACTTTCTAAAGTATATTTTAATAACGAATACAGTGGGGATCGAAAGTTTGGGCACCCCAGCTAAAAATTTGTATTAATGTGCATAAAGAAGCCAAGGAAAGATGGAAAAATCTCCAAAAGGCATCAAATTACAGATTAGACATTCTTATAATATGTCAACAAAAGTTAGATTTTATTTCCATCATTTACACTTTCAAAATAACAGAAAACAAAAAAAATGGCGTCTGCAAAAGTTTGGGCACCCTGCAGAGTTAATATCTTGTACTGCCCCCTTTGGCAAGTATCACAGCTTGTAAACGCTTTTTGTAGCCAGCCAAGAGTCTTTCAATTCTTGTTTGAGGTATCTTTGCCCATTCTTCCTTACAAAAGTCTTCCAGTTCTTTGAGATTTCTGGGCTGTCTGTCACGCACTGCTCTTTTAAGGTCTATCCATAGATTTTCAATTATGTTGAGGTCAGGAGATTGTGAAGGCCATGGCAAAACCTTCAGTTTATGCCTTTTGATGTGATCCCCCGTGGATTTCGAGGTGTGTTTAGGATCATTATCCATTTGTAGAAGCCATCCTCTCTTTAACTTCAGCTTTTTCACAGATGGCATCAAGTTACCATCCAAAATTTGCTGAAATTTTATTGAATCCATTTTTCCTTCTACTCGTGAGATGTTCCCTGCGCCACTGGCTGCAACACAACCCCAAAGCATGATTGATCCAACCCCATGCTTAACAGTTGGACAGAGGTTCTTTTCATTAAATTCTGTGTGCCTTCTTCTCCAAACGTACCTTTGCTCATTCCGGCCAAAAAGTTCAATTTTAACCTCATCGGTCCACAGAACTTGTTTCCAAAATGCATCAGGCTTGTCTATATGTTCATTTGCAAAGTTCAAACGATGATTTTTGTGGTGAGGATGTAGAAGAGTTTTCTTCTGATGACTCTTCCATGAAGACCATATTTGTACAAGTATCTCTTTATAGTGGAATAGTGTACCACAACTCCAGTGTCTGCCAGATCTTTCTGGAGGGATCGTGCAGTCAAACGTGGGTTTTGAATTGTTTTTCTCACAATCCTGCGAGCTGTTCTGTCTGATATTTTTCTTGGTCTTCCAGATCTTGCTTTAACTTCCACTGTTCCCGATGACTGCCATTTCTTAATTACATTCCGAACAGAGGATATTGACATCTGAAAACGCTTTGCTATCTTCTTATAGCCTTCTCCAGCTTTGTGAGCGTCAACTATTTTCAGTTTCAGTTTTCTAGACAACTGCTTAGAAGAACCCATGGTGCTGATTGTTGGGGCAAGGTCAGATGAGTCTGGGCATTTAAAACCTTTGAGATTGACATCACCTGGTCTTACCAGACGATGATTGAGAACAATCCATGACACTGGCAGGTCTCAGCTTTGCAAAGGGGGCAGTGCATGCTATAAATTCTGCAGGGTGCCCAAACTTTTGCAGACGCCATTTTTTTGTTTTCTGTTATTTTGAAAGTGTAAATGATGGAAATAAAATCTAACTTTTGTTGACATATTATAAGAATGTCTAATCTGTAATTTGATGCCTTTTGGAGATTTTTCCATCTTTCCTTGGTATCTTTATGCACATTAATACAAATTTTTAGCTGGGGTGCCCAAACTTTCGATCCCCACTGTACACTGACAACACCCTGCCCCCAGCATGCTGAATGGACAAGAATGAGAGCAGCAGATGACTGATTCATCCACCTGCTCACCTCTCCTGTCATCTTGCATTTGTTTAGCATATTTTCAAGCAGCTCACCTGACTGTTGCATAGTGATAACCCTCATGAATAAAAATATGACCATAAATAAAAGATCTACCTCTGAGCCATAGGTCTGTGCTACATGACACAGCATCAAGAAAGAAATGTCAAACAACAGGGCACGGGTGGATGCAGCTTTTGCTGTGGAAAAAATAGGAATAATTAGTTTCAAGGGTTAAAAAAAAAAAAAAATAGAGTATGCCCTATGGTAACTCAGGGGTCATCTGGTTTTCAAATAAATCTACTAAGCAAGGCCTCTAATTACATAACATATTGAATAGTACTGTGAATACGATCCACTGAAGACACAACATAAGACAGGCCTGTAAAACACAACTTGCTTCTTACAAGTAGATTATAGTAAAGTGGAAATCATGTATAATACATTTAAATATGCAAACATAAATGGAACTTACAGCCTTCAGTACCGATGTGTCGCGTAAATTCATTCAGTCTGAAATAGAAAAATGCTATTTTATTAAATGCAATGTTCGTCTATCTAGCTTATTAAATGTATGAAATATTTCATACATATACTTCTCCTTTTACTTCTCCTTCTCAAGCTGATTTAAGCTGGTTTGCTGAAAATCATACCGCAGTTTACAAAGCTCATTAGCTCAGGCTTAATGCAAAACCAAAGATTCTTTATTTTAATTGCGAACACTCGGAAAGCTTTAAAATAGTGTTGTATGGATACCTGTAAAACGGTGGTTTTTTTTGGGGGGGGGGGGGGGGTTTGCTGTGTGTTTTCTGGTGTGATCTCGGATAGCTGCATAGCTTGACTTTAGGTTTGCCACACCTCCCAATTAGTAAGCCACCAGGCATACAACACGGGGGGTTTCTCTAATTTCCGCCGTGTGTTCTTTAGCTGTATTTAGTAAAACAGCAATGAACAAGAAGTGGAAGGAGCAAAGAGCAGGAAAAGAGAGAGGATTGGGGTTAGCATGGAACAGTGCTCATACGCACCCACTTTTAATGTGGTACTATTATTATTGTACACGCAGGGCTGTGGATATAGGGGTACCACCAGTCCTCCTGTATGGGGCCCAGGCCTGCAAGGGGGTCCAGGAAGCTGGGTGAATTGGGTGTTGGCAAAAAGGGTGATAGGCACAACGGGGGCTATTACTGGAATTGATCCCCCTGTATGGCTCTCTACAGCAGCTGAAAGCTGGCTTCTCCTCTCCCCCCCACTGGCTTTCAGCTGCTGCAGAGACAGCCATATTGGGGATCTGTTCCAATAATAGCTCCCCCATCCCACCCCCATCACCCTCCCTCTGCATCATATGTTTTCCCCTGCTGCCTAGGCCCCCCTGTGTGCCCCCACCCTTGCAGTGCTGCCAGCTTCCCTCTTCTCCTTCTCACCAGCAGCTGCAAGCACACAATAGGATCCTTCAGGATGGAGAGCAGGGGAAGGATCCGGTAAATATGTCACATTTAGCAGCCCCTTCCTTTCCTGAATGAACACAATGAGTGATTGGTACCACACCTCACCGTGTTCATTCATAAATGCAGCCTAGTAAACTGTTTATTTGGAGAGGTACCCTGTCAGGTTGGCTGCATGGGGCCCAGTGGTTTCTAACAGCAGCCCTGTGTACAGGATTTATATAGCACCAGCAGTTTGCTCAGCACTTTTTAATGTGAAGGGAGACAGTGTGGTTATAATACAACTCACGTCAAGAGGGACAGAAACGCCCTGCTTGTGAGAGCGCATAATGTAAAAGACATATTTTTACACATCATGGGGATAAAGTAAAAGATAATACTGATACGTAAATTTACTTATTTCAGGTACTTTATATAGCGCCGTCAATTTACACAGCGCTTTACACATATATATTGTACATTCACATCAGTCCTTAACCCTCAAGGGGTGTACAAGCTAAGGCCCCTAACTTATATTCATACATACACATACTAGGGCCAATTAAGACAGGATCCAATTAACCTACCAGCATGTCATTGGAGTGTGGGAGGAAACCGGAGTACCCGGAGGAAACACACGCAGGCACAGGGAGAACATGCAAACTCCAGGCAGGTGGTACCGTGGCTGGGATTCGAACCAACGACCCTAGTACTGCCAGGTGGAAGTGCTACCCATTTAGCCACTGTGCTGCACATATTACAACCTTTAGATATTTTCAGAAAGTAACATTCAAAAATGTCTGAGTGTTTGCATAGAAAAAGATAGTTTTACTTGAAAAACTGAGAAACTGTATCAGCAGCACAGTTTAGTGTTTAGCACTCTTTAGCGCTAGGCTCCCCAGTTCAACTCTAAAACCAGGACACTATCTACCCAAATTTTGTATGATCTCACTGTGATTGGGTTTCCTCTAGGTTCTCCAATTTCCTTCTACACTTCAAAGTCAAGGAGGTTAATTGACTCCTATCTACATTGGCCCTAATATGTATACACATAAGATAGGGACCTTAAACTGTAAGTTCCTTGAGACTAATCCCTGCCTTTTAAGACCGTCCTATACAGACTTCCAATTTGAAAGGAAGTAATCAGGTTTTATTGCGCTCTCTCTTTTTAGAAATCCCATAATGGTTTGTGACACCATTGTCATGGGTGCGCCCTGTATGAAATATTTATTGGTAAAATTCTGATTTTATATACTTTGTTAAAAAATATAAAACATTTAGCCCTGGTTCACACCAGTGTGACTTGTCATGCGATTTGACAGTTCCAAATAGCATGACAAGTCACACCCTATTTGTGCCTATGGAACAGGTCCAATTGGTACAACTGATTTTGCGATGCGGCACAGATTTTGAAAAAAAAAAAAAAAAGGTTCCTGCGTTATTTTTGGCAAGTTCATGTGGGACTTTCATAGATATCTGTGCATGAATCGCACAGATGTCAGGCAAGCGGCACATAAAATTGTACTGAGCAGAGGCTTTGAAATTGAGCTACTTCAAGAGAAGCAGCGAGATTTCAAAGTTGTATTCAGTGTGAACCAGGGCTAAATGAGGATGTATAATCTTAAAATAAAATTGACCAAAAATCATTACAGTTTCCACTTAAAGAAGAGAAGCATGTCCTTTCTCTGATCACTTACTGAATGAATTTACGGGCAAAAGACTTCAATTTTCCAGTAGCAGCCGCAGCTGCTAGCAGCAGATCCAAACTCTTTCCGGTTAACATATGGCCTAAAACCCCCAGAAGACCTTCAGGGGACTTGGAATGATCAGCATCCATTGTCTGCAAGAAATTTAAAACGTAATGCCGCTGTATAAACATTTATAAACTATATTTAATTGCTACACACCCAATTTGCCTTACTATAGGGTTAATAAAAATTACAATTGTAGTTCAACCAATAGTCAACTATGATTTACTAAAACCAGTAAAAAATGCAAACATAGCTCTTTTGTAAGTTATGGACATACCAGCTCGATTCTGACTGGTCAGAGTCATCACCATGATGTCCCTGACCCAATCAGAATGATCTGGCCTGTACTGGAAATGCTGACAACACATTATTCCTAAAGGGGAAACCATGCAGCAAAGGAGAAGCATTGTGTAAGAAGCAAAGAGATCTGTGCATACAGGTCTGAAAGAGACACCAACAAAAGCCAGAGTGAAAGGGACCTTGTGACCATAGATATTCAAGTACTACTACTAAGCAGTAAATGAGCTTTAATAAAGCTTTCACTGCCCTCTGTAGCAGCAGGCACTTTAAAGCAATTTCATTTGGAAGCTTTTGTGACAGAAGTGCTGAAATCATTCAAGTCATTTCCAGTTACACTCTATTCCCTCTAAACAGTGACTTGGCAGCCTTCTAATAGCCAATCTAATCACAATGCAGGTGCTCTGGGAAGAAAGCAAAGAGCTGCTTAGAGGTAACTTGAATGACTTAAATGTTTCTCCAGTGAACTTTGAGGATGAATTGCTCTGAAGCACTTGCAGATAGAGAGGTCAAAGTGATATTAAAGGCATTTTAAAAAAAAAAAAAAAACAAATATGTTATACTTACCTGCTCTGTGCAGTGGTTTTGTACAGTCCTCGCCCTCCTCTTCTTGGGTCCCTGCCGGAGCTCCTGGCCCCTCCCTCCTGCCAAGTGCCCCCAGAACAAGCAGCTTGCTATAGGGGCACCTAAGCATCCTTGGCCCCGAGCCACTGCTCTACATGTCCATTCCATGGCTCGGCTCCGTCCCCTCTCCTCACTGGTTGTGATTGACAGCAGCAGGAGCCAATAGCTCCCACTACTGTCTCAGCCAATGAGGGGGAGAGTCTCTGTAGAGCCAAGGATCTTGTGCACATCGTTGGATCGCGATGGGGCTCAGGTAAGTATTGGGGGGCAGCTGCATACAGAAGGTTTTTTACCTTCATGCATAGAATGCCTTTACAACCACTTTAAAGCTCATTTACTATTAAAGAATATGTAAAAAGTTGAATGTCCATAGCCTGGCCACAGGTTCTTTTTAAGGACAGTATGTATGCCTATGCCCTGAACGGTCAGCTTCATTTTCCCAGGAGACCCATTCATGCATAGAGTGCTACTGTTCTCTTTGTCTGTCCTATTCTACAGGGTGTCTTTCACCCATACAAATCATAGTGGTAAAAGAAGGTTTCCCTGTAGGCTCCTCCATCAGTTGTAGATTTCTCGTAGCCTATGTTGATGCTTACTCACCTTCAGGATGTTGGTGACAGTGGGCTCTGCTCTGAGGATTAGTCCTGGATTAGGCTGGATGGCAGAGCTCTCTGTAGAGCGTGGAGCTTGCTCTCGGTCTGCGGTTCTAACAATAGTGACAGAAGGAAGGTGATATACAAAAATCTTTACTGAATTCTTCAAACATGTTTTGTAACTTTCTTATTACCCAACAAAGTAAAAGCTAGGATCTCAAAAAATCAGTAGAAACTTTTAAACATTTGGTATTTTATTTCTCTGGGTTACGTAGGGAATGTACTTATTTGTTATGTTTTTTTCTGAAAGCTGCAATACTGGACCTAATTTCTAATATCAAGCGTGGCTTTGTGCTTGAATGATCAGACTGGTAGTTCAAGTTACTGATCTGATCTTCAAGTACATAAAACTTTAAAATATGATAGGGGCAGGAAAGAAAGCTTATAAATATTACCTTTTAGAGATAAGGTTTTCCAAATGATGGTCAGACAGTAAACTCAGCTTGTGACATTCCTGAAGCAGCAGGCTAACACAATCACAGCTGCGGAAGAAAATAGAACGTTTATTTGCATTAGAACATTCATCACCGATGATTCACTACAAATCGGATTTTTTTTTTAGGCTGGATGATATAAAACAGTTGATACAGAAAAAAATGTGGGGAAGTTAAAACACTAGCTTCTCTAGTTTAGCACAGATAACCATTCATTAATGTCCATTAAAACTGAACCTAAAGCAAACTAATTATTACATAAATGTTAACCATTTTACCTGCTAGAAACTTAGGCTTTAAAATGAAATTCCGTTTTTTTTTGGCAAAGTTCACCTTTTAAAAAAAATAATAAATGCACATTTTTTGCAGGTAAATTGAGGATGCAAAGTAAAGCTCCTGCAGACAGTGCACTGTCTGCCAGTACCTCCCCGTATTTATCAGTCTAGACTGAAATTGACAGCTTAGACTAGCACACTAAGTACTGGAAAACACTTTCAGTCCAGCAGAGTCAATGAACTACGAGAGAGTTCACCAGTGCTCTCGCAGTTCACTGAGGACTACAAGCCATCTGCCGCAATGGCAGACACTATTAGTCCATCCATTCACAGAACTCTTTGAATGAAGGATGCGGCTGTGTGGGCAGAGGTCACATGGCCGCACTGTATTTGAATAATGACAGTGTGTGAGGGGTCCACTGTCAAAATGGGGGATCGAGACAGGGTGCCAGCATGTGCTTTAGTAACATATTACACTATGAATATGGGTGTAACATGTTACTAAAGGTGAACTTTTCCTTTAATGTTGGTGACTGTGTGTTTGTGTGTGTGAAAACATACTTTGCAAGAATTATAAATTATTATTAGAATTCACTATGGAGTTTTATGACATTTAACAATGCATTTAACTTGCAGCTTTATACATGTATACATAAAACAGCACAATGAACTCTAAAATCCTTGAAAAAGATTTTTACTTACAGGTTCTGTAGAGCAATTTATCCCTTTTCACACATTTTAGTTTGAAGTTCTTATCAAATAGCTCAGTTGGAAGTTTTAATCAGACAAATGGCCCCAACAGTCAGGCAGCCATTGCTGTGCTGTGTCCTGTGATACACTCTTAGTGCTCTGGGAACCCTTTGTCGTGTAATAAATGTTTATTTGTAAAACCAACTAGGACCAACTGTTTATAACAAGTACAGAAATCACAAATTACATTATTTTCCAACATACATACGCTTGTGAGATGTTGGTTGGAGCAGACATTTGTTAATTCAGTATTTAACTTTATCAGTCAAAGCTGAAATAGACAGCTTAAACTGCTACACTTACGCCGTCCATAAACGGTTCGAATCTTGGTTGGTTTAGCAGGGACCGGCTGAGATTTTAACCATGTACGGGCAGGCTGAATGTACCCAAGTTGATCAATCGATCAACTTGAGTCCAACCAGCCTGTTGGATTTTACATGTGATTTTTGCTAGCGGCTATTATAGCCACTAGCAGTAATCACTGTGTTCTCCTGGCGGGGACGGCTCCCCCCAGCCCCCTACTGGGAGAACACAATGGCTCCACGGGATGGAAAAGAAAATTGTTTCATCTATGGTCAGCTTAAGTACTGGCAAATACTTTCACTTTTACATAGCCAAAGGCCATTGCAGCAGATGACTTACTTGCACCTCTGATCAGCTTTATCTAAGAGTGGGGTTAGCTTGAGTAAATACTCAAATGCGGTGTTCAAATCCTCATTGAAGTCCTACAAGACATAAGAGTGACAGTGGTGTGACAACAGTAACAACCTGAAATGCTTTGTAATGTGTGCAGTACAATGCTTTGCAATGTGTGTATGATGTGACTGCTTACCTGATCTACCTGCCAGAATTTCTTCAGCTTAGACAGCACTTGTGGGATCTGAAGAAGATATAAAAACAGGTAGCGAAAAAAAAACTCAATATCTCAACACAAAAAACTTGAGGGAACAAAACCATCGCTGAATTTGTTCCACCTGCTGTCAAAATGAGGTACTGTATCCTAGCTAGAAAATACAAGTTTTCAGTGGGAAGCACTGTATCAGAAAGGACAGATTTTAGTATGCTCAGCATTATATAAATCATTTTTATGTGCTTTCCACTGTTTATGAGGCCATGGGGAAGAGGGTACTAAATGCAGCATTATGGATCTTTTTTTGTTATGAATTTTTGGGAAACAGAGTTCTGCACACAATACATTTGGCACATTAGGCTAGGCTAAGTGGTTCGATCTACTTTGAGGTGTTTAGTTAGCTTTTCCACTGCGGAAAAACATCTTATATCTGGTACCCCATGTTTATAAATCTTACTATATAGTCAGAAGTTCCCTTACCCAAAAATACTCACTCTGACCAATCATGCCAAAACTAACATGCCACTAAATGCAGTGGTATAGGGAGGGCTTTCAATCTAAACTGGAATTTCCCATTAAATAAGATGGCCAAGTGAATGTAGAACTCTAGAACCATACAGGCCAGTCTAGAAGCAAGCAAAATTCTTAGCCAAGGTTCACACTATTGCGGTGTGGGAAACATCGTAATCCGTGCGAGTTTCCCATGCCACATTCACTGCTTTTGCGATCTTCTGTCGGCACGAACGTGGTGATACTAGCTTAGGAGCTCTGTGGAATACTAGCAACCTACTATTGTACACTTGGAGAGTCATGCCTATTGTATCTGGAAACATGTGAGTGCAATACTAGTGTGTCTGCTTTTACTAATAAACAGAATTACACTATTTTGGATGCCCCTCTCCATTCCTTACATGTATATACCTAATCTGCTTTACATTTGAATACCGGGAATGACAAGAAACATTTAATCAGGAGGACTACAAGCTCCAGCATGACTTCCTATGCCCCACCATAAGCGTGAAAGACTTTTATTTCACCATAAGAGTCCGTTAAAGTTGGTGAGTGAGGGGGCACACAGTCGGGGGAGCACAGGGCACTTAGCACCTTCTGGAAGTGATGGGATTTTTGTTCACTTATTGATTTCGCATTTAGGACTTTATTTCACAATGTTTTGTTATGTGTTCATTATTATAGCATGTTTTTCATGTAATATAACATACATTGAGGAAGCGCTCCTGTATTGTGTTGACAAGGTTGTACGTTTTATAGGAGCAGCAGCCCAGTTTTTTTGTTTAATATTGGGTGTGCACTATTGATTGGCATGTCCTAAGCGCAGGTGATCATTATCTATCATCACCAACTTTTCCTATTTGCTTTTAAATGTTCAACAGTAGTAAGGAGAATTTGTATGGAGGATTTGATCTATATCTAAGAAAAGGAGTTGATCTTTGCCCGGGTGCTTTCAGTTGGTATAAAGTCCAATTAAAGGGACACAAGTGTTTTATGACCTAGCATTATCTGTGAGGTCAAAAGCTCCAGATGAGAGAACATCTGGTGATTGGTGGATTTGCAACACAAGTGTGATATAGAAGACATTAAGAGTACAGAAGAGAATATTTATATGTATATTCATGAACATTTGAGAAGCATATAAGTGGACTTTTTTGGCTTTTTTTTTTTTTTCATTTTATCTGATGTTGTGCAAAGTATATTTTGACTTGTTGGGCATAACTGTTTAATTGTATTTAAATTAAAAGCACTGCACTATTTTTGAGTTATATGGACACACTACATATAAAATATGAGTATGTGAAGGGTGGGGGCAGCTTTCATATAGGATCAGTATTGTGTGATCACTGCAATAGAGAGTGTTTAGAGAATTGTAGTTATTTTGTACAGAGCAGCTTGCAAGACTATATACATTAACATCACAAACGTAGTGCATTTGCCTACATGGGATCCCACCGGATCGCATGCTACAATACGAACATGCGATCCGATTGTGGTGGGTTCCAAATGTACTGCAGAACGCCTTTGGTGCAATTTGAGCCCATTCAAAGTAAATGGGCTCAAATTGCACTGCACTGAATAGCATGTGAATTGTACAGGAATGCAGTGTGATTCCTGTTCAATTTACTTGCAGTTCACAGTGCGAACCGAGGCTTAGGGAACATGTTTCAAGGATAACTAAGAATGACTAAAGCAAGCACGAACTCTTCTGGGTGTAGCTCTTGGGATATGCCCCGCCATGGTCAATAATAATCAAGTAATAAAGATATATATTAATGCAAATTACCCACAGCATGATGTAGCAAACATACAGACAGTTTGGTAACTGAAATCTAAAAGCTTGCTGAGATATTACAACAAACCACTAATAAAGTGCATGAAAGTGGCATGCTCAAGAATCTGGCCCAATAAATAAGTTCTATCATCTTAATCAGGGCAAAGATAGTTTCTACAGGGGACAATTAGACTGTACTACCCCCAGGTCACTGAAGGATTATGGCCATAAGGGTTATGGGAAACACTTTCTCAATGCTGTTAATTGCTCTGTCTTCTAGAGGTGTCTGTCTGCTAATATCTTTGAGATCTCCTACATGCCAAAAAGGAAATAACACTTTCCAATACATGTTTCCTCAGGACATACTTTGAGAAAAGTAAATGCAGTCCATTTCAGCTCATCAGTTCCTGCAGGTGATTCAATTAACCCTACAATGCATGCCTTCCAGACCTCGAGGAGGAAGAGATGAGACGGAATCCGCTGTGGGAATAGGAATACGGACATCATCAGACACGTTATCACCAAAGCAGCACTTAAAAAATAATTAAAGGAAAAATAGACTAGTCACCAGCCAGGTACAATATAGCCAAAGTTTGTGATTCATAATATAGAACAGGATTAAAAATACAAATTATGTTTTTCAGCTGCACTAATTTTGAATGAAATGCTCCAATGTGTAAATAAATTGTTGCAATTTTTCAGGCAATTTTAACCAATTTCCACTATCACCAGCCACCAATATTGACCTATCCTGAAAATGTCAGTTACCTGGCTGTCATATTGACTCACTTGCATTAATACTTTTACTTTCTATATCCAGATATAAACAAAAATATATGTTCCAGGTGAGTATCATAGAAAGCTTTTGTCAAGGGATTACTAGCATTTTCAGAGGTCAGCAATGCCAGCCCCATATTCCTATTCTTGACAAGTTTACTTAAGGAAGGATTAAGCCTATTGCACATCAGAATCTCCCTAGGAAGGTTAGCAATGGCCGACTCTCTCAATATATAAAGGCATCATCTCACCTGCATTCTTCTCACTGTGTTCAGTTGCTCCACAAATGGCTGTGCCTCCCCTGTAAGGTTCATTGTGCCTTCTAACATCACAACAGCATGAACTGTGGGGAAACCCGTGCAGTGTAGCTGCTCAGAGTGTGAGGAAAGCATGGATGGAATGCTATTGAGGTAAAAGAAAACAGATTGTCATCCCTAGTAGTCATACCATCATCACTTTTTTAATTAAGTGTGCAATTCAGCTTTCAGAGTAGCCAACTATAAAAAGGTGGTTTATATGAAACAGAAATAATGTAACATGTAGGCATTTCAGCAGTATACCAGATATTCCTATATTCAATATGAAAGTGTAAACCATGGAGCAATGTTTTAATAACAGGATTTTTGTTCTCGTTGTATTATACTTTTCTTGGAGTCCATTAAGAGAAACAGGAAGAAATGAACTGTCATGTTCTGTTGCTACCTACAGGAGGACTAGACACTGGTAACTCAAAAAATTGTAGGCCAGCCAAGGATAACCTTCCTACTACTAGTGTATCTTAATTTTTTGCTACTGTCCTTGGAGGATGGACTTATTTTTCTTTTTTTTTTTTTAACGTGCTGGGAAACATTCACCTATTGTTTGCCAGCACTATTTTGTCTTCTACATTTTTTCTTCAAATCTTCAAAGAGTTGGTTCCAGCAAGGATTTCTGAAGTTCCAGGATCCATTCAAGCCTTTGCAAAGTCTGGATGATCATGACTGCATTGTCTGCCAGAACCTGTGCTGACTCTTCCCTGCACAGGAAGTCGCTTAGGTATTCCACAATGAGAATACCTTGAAAGTGAGCAAAGCTAGTACTAGAGTCAGCACCTTGGTAAGCACCCAATGTGCAGAGGAGAGGCCAAATGGCAGAGCTACAAACTAAAAGTGGATCAGGCCACAGCAATGTGTAGAAATTGCTGATGTGCTCAAGAGATGGAGACACACAGGTATGAGTTCTTGATGTCCACAGAGGCCAGGAAGTCTCCCTGGTAGAGGAGATGATGATACACCTGGTAGATTCCATATGGAACATCTGAGGTTGAATGAAGATATTTAGACTCATCCACCCTATCAACTGTTCAATGTCTGCTACCGCTCTCTGCCATTCCCTCCATTGGCTGCCACTAACACAACAAATTAAATTCAAAATGCGAACAGCAGCTTACAAAGCCATCCACATCTCTGGCCCCAGCTACATCACTATCCTATTCTCAAAATACCAACCAAAAAGCGCACTCTTTGTTCCTTCCAAGACCTCCTGCTCTCTATTTCCCTTGTCACCTCCTCCCATGCTTGCCTGTAGGACTTCTCCTGAGCCTCTCCCTTCCTGTGGAATTCCCTACCACAATCTGTCTGAAAATATCCTACTCTGTCCACTTTTAGGCGATCCCTGAAAACTTTTCTTGTCAGAAAAGCCTATCCTGCCTCCACCTAAAAATTGTACATGTATTATCTCCATCGGCTCATCCTCCACAGTTATTACTTTTTCTATCACTTGATACTCCCCTTTTAAATTGTAAGCACTAACGAGCAGGGCCCTCTGATTCTTCCTGTATTCGATTGCATTGTAACTGTACTGTTTGCCCTCACATTGTAAGGCACTGCACAAATGGTTGGTGCTATACAAATCCTGTATAATAATAATAAATAGAGCGAAGGCAAAGTGAACAAGAAGGCATAAACAGACTAGCAGACCCAATTTATACTTGAATAAAAAGACTTTTGCATGATTTAACACCCATTTTGTCCTGAAATACTGCAGTATTGATATCAATTTCTAGGAATTTTCCTAAATACTTATCCTAAGCACTGTTCACAAAAAATGTGTACGTACTACAATAAGGCTGGATTCAATGTCGGGAGTGTTGGTGTAATATACCGCCATTCATTCTGAACGGCATCCCCACATACCTGCATTGCAGTGCACATCAATACCCAAGGAAAATATGCTATGGAAGGGGGCTATTTCTAAGCATGAGGGATAACTACACCAAAGATACAGTCACACATTAAAGAATTACTATTTTATAAAAGAATGCGTGTGGTCATAGCAGATTATATTTAACAATATTTTATTTTTTTATAAACACATTTTTTTACTTCCTCTTTTCAAGGTATAAACAACAGATTGCCCATCCAACACATTTTTTTTACTTCCTCTTTTCAAGGTATAAACAACAGATTGCCTATCCAACACTTACTATTTCTCCACTTTCAAGCTTCCAGAAAGGCAATGGTGACATAGCCCTGGATGTACAGAAGCCTCCTGGATAGACACCGTCACTTTTGCCTGCAATGGAGATCTTGTTCTAAACTGCAAGATCTCGCAGTGTTCTACTGCACATGCACTATATGAATGCACCATACAACATACCACTCATTTGTCAATTTTCCAACAGATGAATGTAATGTTGTAGGAGGCATGCACAGCATTTTTCCTACCTCATTTAGCGCATGCGCAGTAAACCTGAGGAAAATACGTCATTGGTGGGCCTGCACAGGTAGCAAGAAGGGAAAAGATGGCCACCAATGATGCTCATTTTTGAAAGGACAGCACAGCAGTTGGGGAACAGAGGAGGCATCAAAAAGGAAAATTACAAAGAATAAAAGTGCATGGACAACATGTTTAAGTACACATTTTAAAATATAATTGGCATGTTTAAAGGGGGGTGTCCACTTTAAAACAAGCTGATAGTAGGGCTCAGCAGACTTTCAACAAGCTTCATGTAATGCTAGTTTATAAAGCCTGCCAGCAGCTTTTTAAAGTGAAAGTACTCCCATTAAGATCTGTGTTTAAATACTCCGACTGCTAAATGGAACTTTAAAGGCTTCAACAAAGCTTACTGAAAGCCCTGGATATAATTAAGAAGTTGACGTACACACTTCACTTATACAAGCTTAAGATCTTGTGAACTAGGTCTTACAGAGCATGATAGTATATGATTTGTGTATGCAAATCCTTTTTTTTTAAGTTTTAAGTACAGTTGATAATGGTTAAAAAAAGAAAAAAAAACATGGTATGTCCCACAATGATTTTCCTACACTTCCGATCCCTGGAACACTAAAGGAAATAGGAGTAAATCTTCCCAAAGCAGGAGGTGATTGTAGCCGTATTAGTGCATTTGCGACAGAAACAATTGAGTACTGTCCGTGATACTTTTTTTATTTGCACTAACATACAATTTTGAGGACAAGCTTTCGGAGGAAATCCTCTCTCCATTAACAATGGTCACCAGGACACATAAGGTTTTAAGATCGTTACTCTATCTAAAACAAACGAAAAAAATGTTTGGGCCTTACATAAAACTTAATTCATGTTCCACATATTGTAGATCTGATAAATCCGGTAAATTGTTAAAAAGATAATGTAAATGGACTAAATCAAACCAAGGGGTATTGAAATCAGCAATCCTTACACTTTACTTTAAAACACAATATCTCAAACTATGGAGAGACCCAAACTGGGTCATGGGCATGTTTGGAATAGGCTGCCACATGAACCTATTCTAGTTTGTCCAAACAAGAATTCAGTGACATGTGATATAAAACACAGTTTCCAATGATATACTACAGAAATGGTGAAGATAATCTATAATAAGTTACTTGGCCATTGCTATTGGTCTTTGACTTTGCTGATATTTTTGTAATACTTCTCTTTCTGGGTCCCATTATGGCAACAATTCTGTTATTTTGGTATAAATATTTTAGGAATCCCTGCTTTAAATTATATGATAAAACGCTGTTTTTTCTTTCTTTTGAACAAGTCTGGGAAGGTTTTTTCCTTTTACAGCACACCTGGAGGTACTGAACAGACTGCAAAACTATTATGCCATGACTCACGACATCTAAAGAGGTGACAATTGCATGCAAACCTATGCATAGACATTGTAGCCAACTCAGTACTTTGTGTGGTTTTAAAGTGTCAGTTCACCTTTACAGAAAAAAAAATTAAAAGGTGAACAAACACTGTACACACTTCACCCCCCTGGTCCTGTCTGTACTTAGTGTATGCTGGGCACGCGGGTCCAGCGGTTTGGGTATTTGAAATCCCAACTCTTCTTCTTATTCTCTGTGCAGCACTTCAGGGGCAGACCAGAGCGATTCTGATTGGTCAGCGCCTACACAGTGAATCACTCAGGTCTCAAGTAGTCAGGGCCAACAAGACCACTGCTATTTTTCTACTTGATTGAAATGGCAGTTGCCTTCACAATAGTCTCTTAGAGTTCTTGGGAGAATTCAGGGAAACCTGGGGAAGTCAAGGTATATTGCTTCCCAGAGAGACACTGCGGGGCAGCATTTTTAACAAGCAAAAACATTTTATTTTGGGGGGAGGGGGGCCCAGGGGGAATTCGGACACAAGGTTCACAACATTTAACTGTGAAAACAAGGCTGCTATCATTACAATATACAGTATTTGTGGCCTTGTTTGCCCAATTTACTAGCAATCCTGCTTAAAAGCTATATATAATAGAGGCTTTTGATTGTCTCTTTTCTTTAGGATAACTGGATTCTTGGTTTCTGCCCAAAAAAGTTATCTATTGGAAAAATTGAAAAGGCCCTTCACAAACAATTATTAAAATAAGCATCCACACTAAGAGACTATACTTGAATGAAACTCTACCTCCTAACAGGAATATGAAAATATTGATGGGAAGTTGGAAGTGTCTCTGTGGAGAAGGAGATACTGTCAATTCTTAGTGCCCTGCCTTCTACAGGTGGGACCCCAGAACACCTCCTGTGTCCTCATAGGTAGTTTATGTAAATGCACTTTATCCTCTACACTAAATGCTTTTATTAGGTTTATGTCAACGTTAAACAGACTCCAGCGATGAAAAGCTTTTGGACTAACAGTCACAACAATATATAGAGAGCCCCTCAAATAAAACCATACATGCTATGGGTAAGTAAAGCAGACAAGACCGTACCTCCTGATTAACGACACACAATCTTCTGCCTGGCTTCGTAGCTGAATGCTGGGAAGGAGACTTATACAATCGGCCAGTCGCAGCAATGACTGCTCCACAGATGCCCAGGAGGCTACAAGCAGAAAAGACAAAAATAACAAGGTCTGACATAACTGCCAACTAGAGAGTATCACCCAATGCAAGTGCCACAATCAGGACGACATGGCTGATCCGATACAGAGACAAGGGATCCATTAGACCTGATTCTTACAGGCTACTTAGCTTGAGAGGGAGAATCTATCAAAGAAATTAATGCTGCAGACCTCACATATCCACAGGGGACCTGGAGGAAGTCAAGCTGAAAATACCTTTAACTGTGAGTAGGCTCTTATCCTATAGACTGAACAACACAACTAGAAAAAAAATTAAAAACCTTTAAAATCTAAATGCCCAAGGTAAGAAAAAAAATTGAGGTGTTGCCAGTAGCAAACAATTTTATTACAGCTGTTTCTTCTAGTTCAGGTAAGAAAGGGAACTTAATTCACAAGACATCTGTAAGGTATTCTTAGGTGAAATGAACTTGACATCTCTGTGTAGGCTGTGTGCCTAAACTGAAAGCATATGTATTGCAAATTTTTTTTGAACCAGGTAGGGAAGTGTTAAAACCCATCCTTTTTTTTTTTTTTTACTGTCTATAACTTCCTGTCTGGTAGACAACACAGGAAATAGGAGGAAATCTGCCCAAAGTAAAGGAAATCCTCTTTTAGACAGATGTCAACGCAACAAGTGTCCACATAGGAACACTTAGCTTTGTTCCTGCTCTGATGACAGCTAAAAATGATGGATTTTCCTTCACTTCAGTCTCGGTGACTATTGTTACTAGGACAAATAGAATATAATGAATCCCCCAAGAAGGGACACAGACCGCAATAACATTTTTACAGGGTTGCTAACCCTTCCCCACTCTATTTAAAACAAAAGAAAAAAAAAATGTTGACTCTAAATACACTAGTAAAGCAGTACTCTACACAACTGTCTCTTGTCTGGTCACACAAATGTTAACTGTGGTTGTGTTGGCTGAGATCAGTTTTGGATTGAGCAGGGCTGGTGATATATGGGTAGTAAGTTACAGTCCTAAGCTGCTCAACTGGTATTGATACCAATGGAAAAAAGTTTTACCAACAAAGCCTGACAAGGCAATTCTTGTAGTACCAGTACCCAACAAGGGCGGGCACAAAAATTAGCAAAGTTATATCTCCTAAAACCCTAGTCTCCTAAAACATATTTTGCTATCCTCGCTGTCAATCATGTGTGTCCCCTCCTATTAGCATGCTTATTGCAATGCAGCACATTTGATTGGCTATTTGTTTCTCCAAGAACAGCTAATTTAGAATATCAATGCCGTTTAAAAAAAATCATAGTTTTGTACTTACTGTAAAATCCATTTTTTTAGGCCACTGAGGGACAAAGAAATTCAGGTACAGTTCAATTATACTGCCTTTTACAGGAAGACTGGATACTGGCAAACTAGTCTCTAACATAACTCTCTCTACCCAGTATGCCCTAGTTTTGTAGTAAAGCAGTACTTTCTTTTTCAGCCATTGAAGGACACAGGAATTTGAATACTGTTTAAACATCCAAAGCAGTCCAACGAGAGGTGGGCAACACAGAAAAATACATAAATAACAGACCTCTCTAGGAGGTCTGGGTACCTTCTGCAGATCAGGACTTACATGAAGGGCCAGTGCCCGAACATGAGTAGATGAGGTGGGGCCCCCCACTACATAGGGGAACCTGCCATTGTGACCAAAAAAAGAAGAGTACGGAGTATCAACCTAATGTTCCAGACCAAGATGAAGAGAGTCTCTACCAAAGGGGAATGGCTTGACAAAGAAGCTGATAAACAAGAACCCACCAACCAGTCCAAAGGAAGTCCTCTCCCCCAGCAGAGTCCCTGCAGTAACTGGGAGTGACATCTGCTGACAATCCAAGGAGACACATGGTCCTCCAGCGTAAGATCTGCCACACACCCAGGGGCACAAACCTCTCAACTTGGTGCAAACGAAAGCCAATTTTCAGAGGAATGTCCTTCAGAAGCACTTTTCAAATGAGGCTAAAATCCTCAGCACCATCCAGCACAGGGGTTAAGTAACTCTTCCTGGTAAAGGGAGAACTCCCACTCTTTTCCAGAGGCGAAGGCACACTCGTAGCAGCAGGAATGCCCCCTCAGTGTCCATATACAGATATACTGTATGGCTTAGCAGTATGCAACTAGACACAAAGTGCTTCAGTTACTCACAAACCCAGTCAGCTGGAGATCCACTAGATGGTTCCAAGCAGAAGCAGCAGTGGGGTGGTGCTTCCTCTATGCTAAATTGCAGGAAAGAATGCAGAGCACAGACATGCATTGCTTCACCCAGCTGATCATGTCAACACTCTGTCCCTCAGCGTTACCCCTTACTAATTTGGTGGCAAATTTGAATGGCCTTACTCACAACGTGAGTCTTCACAGTCATGGCCACACCTGGGACTGTGCCACAGCTCTGGACTTGGAGAGCACTCCTCAACTAAATTTCACAGTACATTTAACTTTGGACAGTGCCACAATGCAGAGAACAGTGCCTGAAGGTCACCTTCCAGACTAGTCCCATGTGTGCAGTCCAATGGGGTCCAGGCACGGCCTCCAAGGAAGCAAGGAATCTTGACTGAAGTCAATGGAAGAAGAAAGCAAAAAACTGGTTTGACTTTTCTCTGCAGAGCTTAGGAAAAAATGCCCATCCTCCTACGACATTAGCAAAAACCTGAGGCATTCTAGGTAGATGAGGAGCTTCAGTAGAGGCTGGGTTAGGATTTCTTTGTTTGCCAGTGTTCAATCCACTTGTAGATGGTGGTATAACCAAGCTATATCTAAATTCCTTTATCCCTCAATGGACAAGAATGAAAAAAAAAAAAAAAAGATTACAGCTACACTTAGTTGATTGCTAGAGGAAACACCTTCAACTATTCCCTTCCTCAATGTGAAAGAAAAAGCCACATGCACAAGACTACAGATGGCCTTTGTGTAAAAGGTCAGTGTAGATGAGATAAGCTTTACAGTAACTATAATAGTTAACTATAATCTTCCGTCCTCTCAAGCTTACTTGGTTCCTCCAGTTTGGCAATATGGATGAGTGCACGGTTCTTAGTGCTGCTAAGGATGGACTCCAGTCTCTTCAAGCACATGGAAAGCTGACATTCCCCAATCACTGGATCCAGTATTTCCTTCAGTTTTTCCATATAGTATGTACAACATCTTAGAAGCCAGTTCACAGCATTCATGAGAGCCCGACACATGCTGATGCATTCTTCTGCTTTACCATGACAGCTAGAAGCAAAAGATAATAGGCAAAACTAATGCTGAGATGTCATCAATTTAAGCAACTGGGAAACATCTATAAAATTAATGCACAGCCATAACCTTTACTAGCAATTAGATGATATTTTGTTTTCCTGAAATGAAGTCACTTAAAGTGTTACTAAACCCACAACAGTGAAATCAGTCTGTTTATGCAGTAAAGCATGCTTGTTATACTAACTGTGGAACCTAAGGGGTTAATCCTCCGCATTATGTAAAAAGGCTGTTTGATCCTATCCTCTCTGATCCTCCCCTTTTTCCACAATCCCCAGTCCAACTGCAAATCTTGCAAAGCCTAGGAGACACTCTACACATACTCAGTTTGGTGTGTATTGCAAGTTTTTTCTTGGGGGGCTGTGTTTGTTACAGGACCAATCAGCACTGTCCAGACTGAAGGTCAGGGGTCATGCAGCCTCATGGGACAGTCAGAGCTGAATGAAAACTCCTTCTACAAGATTACCAATGCTCAGCTGGACACTGATAAAAGACACAAGAGTGCTATATACTGCTGATGAGAAAAGGTATTTAGCAGTTTATATTTACTAAAATAATTGCATTTCCATGTTTTGTGTACAGTGAATGCAGGGTCCTGGGTTTAGTAACACTTGTGTTTAATTAAAAAAAAAACAACAGCAGTCTAGGACTGGACCAATGTCAGGAGACAAACGAATGCACCCAATATTCATACATTGTTATGAATCCTAAAATCTACACAACATACCATGACCAATCTCTGTATAAACTTTCAAACAGAACCAGCAGATATTCTACATATGACCTGGGAGTGCTCCAAACTTAGGCCATTCTGGCTACAAATTATAGGACTCTTTCACATTTCTAACATCTGTAATCAAACTCTATAGGGTGTCTTGTCAGATTACGCCATAGATAAGGTCTCTATGGCACTTATACAATTACATCTTTTCTATGCTAGGAAACTAAAAGCAATTCAATGGAAAATGTATATTTATCCCTAAAATTGATGAAAGGGTAACATTAAAGGATATGTGAACTCTTACCTTGTAAAACAACCCATTATGTTTAAAAAAGAAATGAAAGGCAAATCATTTGTGTACATATATAGTGGGGAAAATAATTATTTGCTCCCCTGCAGATATTGAAGGTTTGCCCACTTACAAGGAAATGAAGGGTCTATCATTTTTATCATAGGTGTATTTTAAATGACAGAGACAGAATATCAACCAAAACTCCAGAAAGACACGATACAAATGTTATAAATTGAGTTGCAGTTAGTCCTCTCGATTTTAAGGTGTTCCTAAAGACAACTCCTTATTTGTATAAAAGATATCTGTCCACAGAATCTCCTTCTGGGCATTTGGGCACCACCATGGGCAAGACCAAAGAGCTGTCAAAGGAAGTCAAGGACAAGTCAAGTTTTACCACTGGAGAACAGGCAAGATGTTCTCCCAGCACAGCTAGAACACTGACCATACTGGGATGGATGTGCTGTCACGCATAGCGTGGTCAGTTTTAAATAGGAAAGCAGGAATACTGGCAGGGTCACCAGGTATTTCACACATAGGAAGCAATATAAAGTGAACAGGATACTTTCTAACACAAGTACATGCTACAACAGGCACCTATCAGGAATATGAAATGTTGGGGTAACATTCTTTAACCCCTTCACGCCGGATCGTCCCGGTGTGAAGAGGCGTTCCTGCGCCGGGAGGTGGGCGGGGCTTAGTGTCATGTGGCTGCCGGGGCGTCACGTCCGGTCACATGATCGGGAAAGGTCCCGATCGAAAGAGCGGACCGGGACCCTTCCGTGAGTACCGCACATGTGCTCAGGGCGCGCTCTCTAAGCACATATGTTTTTTGTTACATGAATGCAAATGTGCGGCCGCTCGGCGTCTAGGCCCAGACGCCGGGAGGCCGCACATTTGCGTGCGGCCAGTGTGAAGGGGTTAATTAATGAGGCACTTCCATCCTACAGACTCACATACAAAGCTATTTAAAGCATATCTAACCTCAAGAACAAAATGGAACATATTGCAGATTACCAATCCTTAAATGTGATGGCTGCATTCATTTTCTGTTTTTAGGCTCTTTCCCTTTAATGTTCACCTGGTGATCCTGCCAGTAACACACTCCCTGTCACAATGTGACATTTCATTACTGTACTGTATCTATGGAGGATCAGGATCATCATCCTACAAAAGTGTTTTAGGACTACTGGGAGCAGTGCTGACAACAATCATCAGATGTTATTAGCTCGATTTTTCGTAGGATCTCTAAGTGAACATATGCGTTGCTCTGCACAAGCAAATTAATCTTTATTAGTATAGTGGGCAAGAGAGATGTACACTTTAAATCACTCTTTTTTGTGAGAGTATCTAAATACAACAATATTTGATTTTTTTGACATCTTATTAGTCCTCTGTTTAGGTGGCCCCCATTAACTTTTTTCTTACAGGAATTTTTTTCCTCCTTTATTTATACCAGATAATCATGAGAATAACACACTTCCTGTACTAGGATGCCAATAATTTCTATGCTGTATCTATGTGCTGTCACTCTAGCCTCTCACCTTATTTAAACTACAAACACACTCTCCTCTCTTCATCTCCATTACATGGAGGCTGTGGTTCACAGAAGATAGCTTGAAAAGAAGTTAATATTGTTGGACGTACCAGTTCATCTCATGGAAGTTACAAGAACATTTAACTTCTGGCAAGATCAACAGGTATATTCTGTACTTGCTGAAAACGTTCTTGGCCAAAAAAACAAATGAAGCCACTACATCTAAGGAATAGTAAGTTGCCATATATGACATTCCTGTTCTTGGGTTTAAACACAAACATTACCTTAGATTGTCACAGAACATGTCCATGATTTCCAGTAGGGCCTGGACACAAAGGTCTCTGGAGAAGTCATCAAACTGGAGAGAAAATAGAGCTGTCAGCATACATACACATCTACTCTGGTACTGTTATTCTGTACTGCAAGTGTCATTGCTGTACACAGCAACTAAAACACTTCTAAAATGAAAAAAATTTTACGTAAGAGATTGTAATGGTGGCTACACACTATATGAGTACAATCCCCTTTAGATCTTTAGATCTATCATCAACTAGGCAGTACAGGGGCTTGCCTGAATGGAAAAAAATTGAATGGATTGTTCAGACATGTACTCATATTGCAATCTAAAGGAAATTGTACAAAGATAGTACATTTAGATTGTACAGTATACAGACAGCTTAAAAATTACAGTCAATATATCTATATTTCCTTCATGACCTATATTCCGATTCAGGCCATATAGCAGGTGAGGCCAGGAAACAGGGGTGGTTGCACTTACAGACAGGAACCCTAGAATAAATCAGAGGGGGCTGGGGTTACCCCAGGAGGCTGGGCACTGAGGGGTTCCGCAACAGTCTGGGGGACACTGTGGGAGGCTGGGGGCAGTGTGAGGGTTAAGGGCTCTCAAAGGGCCTAAGAGCACTGTGGGGGGGGGGGGGGGTTGTGGCACACAGTGGGTATTTATGAGAGGCACTGTGGAAGATGTGAAACACTGCAGTGGGTTAAAAGATCTGCAGCTGGCTGGAGGCCCAGGAGGAAAGAGGCTCTGGCCCAGCAGCAAACCATGGCCTAAACCATTGTTCTATGGAGAAACCACAGTAGAAGTCATCTTCCTGCAACCAAACTACCTTAGACTAAAACCTCAAATGGAGCCGCACAAAAAAAAAAAAAAAAAAAAAAGGGAGGACAAGAAGGAGAGAAGTTACACCTTTAGCGCTCTTACCCATTTTGGTAAATTTCAGCTTAAACTATTGATCACTGTAAACACCATATTTGTTTTTAGATCAACAACAAGGTAAAGAAACAGTACAACTGTGGGCTAGATATGAGGCTAACAAATATTTCTAGTCAATATTCCAAATGTACCTAAGATTTTTTTAAAAATGTCATTTTTTTGGATCTGACCATAAAGAAAATTCTCACAAACCACTATTCTTTTACTGTAAACTTATTGAAACAATCTACAGCAAAACTATCGTCTGAGAGCACCAGGTTACAAGAAACAAGGGGTGGCCCAGGGCACTATAGCCAAGCGCTAGGTGACCAATTTTACCTGTTTTGCATTTTTACATACATTTTCAGTTTTGCTTGGAAAATAATCTTTGTTACTCTTAACATGTGCTACTCCTCAAAATGCCTTTATGACATTTCCATACAATGTCTGCCCCGTGTCCCTTGTACACATCACAATAAACAATCTGGTTCTGCAAATAGCTTGTCTCTCAGCCAAACCCCGCATAACCTTCCCATGATGCAGTGAGCTAAATTCCACTTCCATACATCTTCTTTGACCAGAATTCTCTCCTTAATGTAAATATTTGCACTTCTCAGCTAGGATCCTGATTTTTTTTTTTCCGCTCCGGGGGCGATGTGACCAGAACGCGATATTATGTACACATGAATGTATACATAAAAATGTAAACACACAGTCCTCATATGCCTCCAACAATCCAATGTGTCTTTATGAGAGGGAAAAACAGGCCAGCTCTGTAATTCCTGCTAAATGACATCTATACTTAATTTCATCTTCAATCTCGTCTGGTTTACATGAAATGGAAAAACATTGAGCCCAAACAGAAACCAGTTATGATATTTATTCCACTGAAACAGTCCCGAGACTATTTTTAGTTAGCACCGAGCACAGCATACTGTACAGAGGTTACACAGTTCCTGAGGCAGTCTATGCCTTCATCCTCATGTTCCCCGGTCGTTTGGCTTATATGGCCATCTCCTTGTTTATTGAACCCATTTGTCCACCAGTGCCAAAAGAAAATCGTGGAAACACAGAGGACTATGCGTGGAGGGTTAGAAACATGGAACACTTTCAAATCAGGATGGAGATAGTGCTCCTAGAACATAATCAACTGGGAAGCTTTCAGGATTGGAGTATCTCAAACTGGCCATACACTAGTACATTTTCTAACAACCATTTGTACAACCATTGCCACAGTACATTTGATGACGTGACGTATGTTTGAAACTACTTAAAAAACACTTTTGATTTTACCATCGCTATGCACCCCTCTGTATCTCTGATGAAAGGTCTACTTCCATAAACTTGGCAGGAGACAGACCCGGTCACCATGGTCTACACAGAAATTCACCTTCAAATTACAAATTACAATTTAAGCTGAAAACATTATAAACACCATATAACAAACAAGACTCTTACCTTGCTGATGGCAGTCAATACAGTAGCATAAGATACCATCTGCAAAAGAAATAGCTCATCTTAGTCTCTACAGATTGACAAAGATCAAAAAGAGTAATCAAAGTGGATCTGTAACCAGGCCATAGTTGCAGGAACCATAAAGACTGATATATATTCTCAAATTTCACAGCAGAAGAGCTGAAGTCATCCAAGTCTCAGCAGCTCAGCACACTCTGCTCAATGGGGAGCAGATTGAAGGGGCTCAGCTGTGATTCAGTAGTCTTCTATTTAGCTTTCTACTCTCTAAGGCAGGGGTCTCCAAACTGTGGCCTGAGGTCCGTGTGCGGCCCTCTGCTAGCCTTTATCTGGCCCTTGGGACACTATTCTTTCCAATGAGAAGGCATTAATCCTCCCACTGACACTAACAATGAGGCACTATTTCTTCCACTGATAGCAATGATGGGGCACTATTCTTCCCGCTGACACCAATAATGGGGCACTACTCTTCCTCCTACTAACCATCAACCCTGTGGACAGGTTTATTCTCACTGATGCTGGGCCCAGGACATTTTGTACCCCCAGTGGCCATAACCTGGCCCTCCTAAAGTCTGAAGGACAATAATCGGCCCTTTGAAAAGTTTGGAGACCCCTGCTCTAAGGTAAACCCAAAGCAGGAGCTCGGGAAAGGGGTGAGCGGAGCTGCCAAGGGAACAACTTGGACAGCTTCAGTGCTTTTGCTGTGAACCCTAAAGATACATTTCTCCACAGTGCCAGCAGCTACAGAGATCAGCAAAGGCTTGTTTTAAAGGAGAAGTCTCACTTTGTATTTTTTTAAATGCCAGTTGCTTGTTATCCTATGTTTCTGGGTATAGTACAAGCTGACATCTCTAGGCTTACAGTGCACCCTTCTCCCCTATTCCCAACAACACTCTACAAAGGTGACAGTCACAGGAATGCAGGAGGAGGGGGCACACTGTCACAGGTAAGAATGCACCAGAGCTCTGCTTGTGCTGCTGTTTAGACATATCCAGTCTTTATACATGCATTATGAGGAGCTGGGCTAGCAAAAAGAGCTCACTATACCCGGGGGCATTGGAAACTGTACAAAGGCTGCGCACCAAAGCATCCAATACTCAGGGGTCTCTGGTTCTGTATATGAAACTGTTCAGCTTTTGCACTGAACCTGGATGCCAGAAGATCCACATCCAGGGTACCCCACCTTCTGTAGAAGTATACATCTGGGTGAAGAGTCTACTCCCCTGGAGTCAGTCTTTAGATGCCTGGGAAAATCCGCCTTCAATTTTCCACGACATTCAAGAGAGGATGGGAACATGAAGTTCCACCCAAGACAGGCTTACTCCTTAGCAGCCCAACTTCTGGTGCCTCCCTGATGATTTATGTGCGTCACCCACTGCGGCACTGTCCAACTGAACCCTTATAGGGAGGCCCTCCAGCTGTTCCAACCAATTTCAGGATGTTGAGGGGTAAGGACCTCTCCTGTGGTGACCACGTTCCCTGGACTGAAAAATACTCTAGGAGAGAGGGAAAAACTATTTTCCCATCTCCAAAATTTGCAAAAAGTCCAGCAGTCCAGAGACAGTCTAGGGGTGTAACTGCATTAGGGAGTCCAATGACTGTATCCTCTATCCTGTGTCCACAAGACATTCAGTTGGAGGGACCTGAAATGAAACTGGGCAAAAGAGACTACCTCAAAAGGAGGCTACCAACTTTCTCAGAACCCACATGCAAAGCCAAATAGAGGGGTTTGTCAGAGTTTGAAGCAACTCCACCAGGGTTCTCAGAGCAAGCAGTTTTTGTGAAGGGGTAGAATCACTTTCGATTGGACCATGTCCAAGGCTGGACCTAAATATTCCAGGTTAGGAATAAGGCTGACTTTTGTACTTTAAAAGGACCAATTCATACTTCTCCAGAGTCTGCATCTTTCAATTTACACTGAACTCCAGAAGTAGAGCAGTCTGCTCCTTCAGAAGCAGGTTATCCAGGTAACCTATGACAGGAGTACAAAGAACCCAAGACTGGGGCTATTATCTTGGTGAATACTCTGGGAGAAACAGACAGGCCAAACAGCAGGGCCACAAACTATTAGCTAATTTTTCAGAAATCTTGAAAAACTAGCTAAAGTAGCAATATTTGAGCAGAGACTGCACAGACATGACCATTACCTAAGACACTAGCAAAATACTGAAGCTAGGGCTAGCTGAGAGGGGCCTTTTTTTGCCAGTGTCCAGTTTCCTGAAGGCAGCAGCATAACCCTATTATATTGGATATGATGAAACGCAGAGTCCTGGAATGTACGATAAATAAATATGCTTTTTTTACCCCACAAACTGATTGAAGTTTGCAGGAAAAAAAATTATTCAAAGTATTTCAGCAGACATCTTTCAAGCTATATTTAATTTGTGAAGTGCTATGAGAGTAAGGCTTGTTTACTTAAGAACTTTCAATGTCCATAGCCACATGTAAGTTCGGTGTGCAGGGAAATTATATTAATTTAACATCAACTTAAAAAGTGTGTGTGTGTGTGTATATATATATATATATATATATAATATAAAAAGCACCTGGTGATCCTGCCCAGTAACAAACTTCCTGCCCTAGAGTGACAGTGCTCACTCACTGTACTGTATCTTTGAAGAAGCAGTGTTGTCACTCTAGGACACCAAGGGGTTTATTTACTAAAGCTGGAGAGTCCAAAATCAGACTCCCTTCTGCATAGAAACCAATCAGCTTCTAACCTCAGCTTGTTCAATGAAGCTTTGGCAATGAAACCTGGAAGCTGATTGGTTTCTATGCAGAAGGGAGTCTGATTTTGGACTCTCTAGCTTTAGTAAATAAACCCCCAAGTGTTGTAGGACTACAGACTACACAACACTCCTTCCCATCAACTCATCTCCATAACACTAGAGGGATGTGTTCTGTAGTTCACAGATGTAAACTGGGTAGAGTGGATACCACCACAGAGTGTATGGGAACTTGAATATATACTGTAGAACAAAATGCTATATTTAAGGTAACCCTGTCATGACAAAGGTACAGGATCTGTCACTATTGACCTTCTTCTTAAAATGCTTGCTGCTTTGGTTGTGACTGGAATCAATACTTTCAGAGCCACTGATTTGGAACATACATACAGGAAATAAGTGTCAGGATTCTTTATCTTGATATGAGAACACCAGAAAAATTGAACCCAGTGCATTATAGGAGATCTATTATCACAGCATACACTCTCATTTTATAATAACAGCATTGTATTACCAATACAAACAACTGTTATTACTGACAATCTAGTATAATCTTACTTGAAAAGACATCATCTTCTCCCCTAAGCAAAGGCGGGCAATCCTTTGCCCCACGCTATCCCATTCCCTGCACCTCTGGGATTCTGTCCGCAAACAGGCGGCTCTCTATACCCCAAATTCTCCCGTTGCACCTATATTTGAAAAACCCGGAGTTTCCCCCTGGTCTGCGGCCACAGGAATTTCGCTGGTGGATAAAGGCTTGTACCAGGTGGGACACTTTTTGGGTCATAGGGGGATATACCCCGCTTCTCATCTTATACAACAGCTTGGGATGCCTGCATCCGAACAATATTATCTGCAGCAAATTCTTCATTTTATCCCTTCCTTACATAGGAATGTCATTGACGCTCCCACGCGATCAGCGTTTGAGAGCAGATGTCTACGAGGCAGGGTTCGGAGGGGGGGGCATCTTAAGACTGTATAAGTTGTTTGTGTCTCACTCGAGTAGATCATATATGCTAGCCTGGGAGAAGGACATAGGCGAGGAGATAGAGAAGGATTGGTCCCTTAGAGTACACAGAGGCATTATGAATGTTTACATTGTGGAGGCGGGTTATAAGGTCCTCTCTCGCTGGTATTTAGTCCCGGATCGATTATCGAGAATGTACCCTGGCTCCTCCCCGCTCTGTTTTCGAGGATGTGGGCAAGTAGGCACGATATTCCATATTTGGTTGACGTGCCCTAAGGTTAGAAGATTCTGGATTCGAGTTCACTCCCTGATCTTCACAGTGACCATGATTACTGTAATGTTATTAAGAACCCCAGAACTGCTCTGCTTAGCGAACCTATTATGGGCGTCTCCAGGTCCCCACGACCTTAATTTCTATTAGGTTCCTAGCAGCTAAAATCATGATTGCTACTGCTTGGAGGGGTCCAATGGTTGACTTGACGTTGATGAAATGTAAACTGTCCTGGATTTTGATTAATGAGAAAATGGTCAGCATACTGCGGGACACTTCTGCTAAGTTTGAGCGGGTCTGGAATCCATGGCTTGATTATCTGCAAACTGGGTCCGAATATTGATATATGATTTGTTTAGGTTCAGTGGGGCTGGTCGAGTGGGTAGCCTCTATCCCATCCTCTTTTATTTATCTCTGCTTTTTTCCAGTCTATTATTGTTTTGTGATCACTCGGCCCTCTGATGGCTTATTGCAAGCTATAGTTACATTGTATGGTGTGGTGTTTTCTTTTATACCTGATGTAGGGGACTATAGCTTTTCACCTTTGGCACCCTGGGATTGTTTCCATGGTCCCAAACTTTCTACCCCTTTGAGTCTGCTGGAGACCCATTTCACGGTTTCCTATTTCAGGGTGGACTGAGCTACAGGATCGTGTTTTAATCTCTACTTCCACTGTGATTATATATGATTTGCTTGTATCTATGAGCTTCGCCTGTGTTGCGAGGTTATACTGTAAGGCTTTGGAGGGCCTACAAGGGCTATTGTTGTATACGTTTTCCTTTGTTATGCCTTAACAACAAAAAAATATTTAAACAGAAAAGTAATCTTCTATGTTGTGAGCTCTGCATGTCTGCTAGCCATCGTTTTCCACAACTTTCTGGATTTCCTGCATGCTTTGCAGCTCCTCCTCTGCCGTTTATTTTGATAAGAACTACATATCCCATGCTACCATGTATCCAGTAATTAGGGACAGATGATTGGTTCAAGAGGCAATATAACTATGCCCAGGGCCAATCATCTGTCCTTAAGCACAGGTAACAAATAGATATACGGAAACATGTGAAAAGTGGCAAACAGCCAAGGCTCCTGTAAGCCTCTCATTGCTTTGTACTGGCTTCCTGACCACAGCTGTTCGCAACCAGCTGTGATTCAAGCTGCAGGATTCTGCTAATGGCCATAATAACAAGCATGAATAAGGACTTAGAACCGATTACTCTCCAAAGTAACAGAATTCTGATGTTTAGAATATATTCAGATGCTTGTTAAAGGATAAGTACCGTATTTTTCGCTCCATAAGACTCACTTTTTTCCCCCCAAAAAAGGGGGGAAAATGTCAGTGCGTCTTATGGAGCGAATATAAAGCGGCCGGTCCGGTATTTCTGCCGCCACCATGTCAGAATACCGGACCGGCCACTCAGCTCTTCTCTCCTGCAGGGCCTTACCTGTTCCTCGCTCCAGCGCTGCACAGTCTTCCCGCGCTGGCTTCTGTGACAGCCGGGTGCCCACTGCGCATGCGCTGCACTTTGTGAATGGTCCAGTGTTTTCTGGGACACATGACAGGTCCCAGAAGGCGCCGGGCCATTCACAAAGCGCAGCGCTGCTCACGCATGCGCAGTGGGCACCCGGCTGTCACAGAAGCCGGCGCGGGAAGAAGAGGGAAAGACAACTCCGCGGAAGTGGGAGCGGGTACCTGTCAAATTCAGGTACCCACTCCCCCTCCCTCCCCAAAGGTCAGCAGTCTCTGGTCTGTCTGGTCATCCCCTGCACTGTCTGCAGTCTCTGGTCATGCCCCTGTACTGTGTCCCTGGTATTTTCCCTGTACTGTGTCCGCAGTCTCTGGTCATCTCCTGTACTGTGTCCGCAGTCTCTGGTCATCTCCTGTACTGTGTCCGCAGTCTCTGGTCATCTCCTGTACTGTGTCCGCAGTCTCTGGTCATCTCCTGTACTGTGTCCGCAGTCTCTGGTCATCTCCTGTACTGTGTCCGCAGTCTCTGGTCATCTCCTGTACTGTGTCCGCAGTCTCTGGTCATCTCCTGTACTGTGTCCGCAGTCTCTGGTCATCCCCTGTACTATGTCTGCAGTCTCTGGTCATCCCCTGTACTATGTCTGCAGTCCATTGGTTCAGAATATTTTTTTTTCTTGTTTTTCGCCTCTAAAACCTAGGTGCGTCTTATGGTCAGGTGTGTCTTATGGAGCGAAAAATACGGTATATCTAAAGCTCATTTGGCCATACTTGTCCTGTGAGTCACAGTGATGCACTTAGTTCTGAACTCCTGTAACCCAGCTTCAGCTGACAAGTTGGGCTTTAGATGTCAGAGCCGCTCCCGTTGCACAGCCCGGCGCTCTAGTAAGCGCTGGAGGACCAGAACAGAGAGTCAGTAACTGGCAGTCACAGTTCTCTGAGCAGAGAGAGCAATCAGCGGTCATGTGATCACTCAGTTGGCAGTCTTAGAGCCAGAGAGGGACAACTGCAGCATCACATAGATGATGCCTGCACAAAGGTAAGTATGTTTGGTTTATTTTTAAGCCACACTTTTAATGTTTACACTCAAGTTGATTTCCTAACTATCTCCACGGACAAACATTTGCACTTGGAGCTCTCATTAACATCTGTCTGATGGCTGGATCACAAACAAACGACCATCTACCCTCCCGTGAGTAATTACAATCCTTAGGGCCTGTGCTGACAGACATATTTTTAAGTCAGATGACGTTTGCATTACCTCACAAGTCTATGAGAATGCAATACCTGCCTGAAGCAGGACACTTGCAGGGCAGAAAGAAAGACACCTGAAAGTCAAATGCACCTGTCTATGAATTCTGAAAAATCTCAAAAACGTCTAAAACTTATGTCTAAGTAATAACATTGACACAAGTCCAAATACGATCAAGACGAGTCCTTGGAAAGATTAAACAGAAATGATTGAATTAATTTTAGAAGAAAAACTTGATTAAATCAAAAAGTAAACTAATTATTCTTGAACTGGTCAAAGCAACGATAAGACTATTAGATTACATACCTGAGAGTTGATAGCATACTTGAGGTAAGACAATATCAGAGGGTTGGGCGCTGGTCCAATCATGGCCTGGTCCAAAAGTGCTTCTGTAGGAGAATAAAATTTAAATAAGAATGATAGAACCTTGCAAATGTACTACCACAGAGCAGAAATGCCAATTTATTTATAAAAAAGAGTAACTTTTTTTTTTTAATGCTAAGGCAAAGAGCATAGTCATTAAAAATCTGCTTCACCCCTCTGTGATATGCCACTCAATTAGGGACATATTAATCTGTTTTTAGTGTCTAGCAGAAGACAGAAGCTCAAGGCCTGTCATGAGGCTATACATAACCACTGTATTATAGGTGCAGCTTACACAGATCAGAGCTCAAAGATATGTCCTAAAATGATCCACTTTGTCAGTACTAACAAGAGCAATGAGCATGAGCTATAACAGTGGTGGTCAACTTAAATTTAATAGATGGCCTCAAGTGCGGCCCCTGACACATCCAGAGGGCCACACAACAGCAGTGTGTTTTTGTACTTTGAGATGCATTACATTGAGTCAGGCTATAAAGCCGCTCAGTCCTGGTGCAAAGTACAGCAATGCACACTAAAAAGAAAGCTGGAGCGATCATTGGTGTTAGTGACCACGATAATAACCCCTAGTACATTGGTAGTGAAATTTAAACCCCCTTCTGGCGGTCAGTATAGTTGCAGTGAATATTACGGTGTTACTAAACCCAGGACCCTGCATTCACTATATCTGGTCTCCTACACTACACAGAACATGAAAATGCAATTATTTTAGTAAATATAAACTGCTAAATACCTTTTCTCATCAGCAGTTAGAGAAATCTTGTGACTTCTATCAGTGTCTGGCCGAACACTGGTTAAAGCTTGTAGGAGGAGTTTTCAATCTCCCCTATGAGGCTGCAGGACCCCTGAGCCTCTGTCTGAACAGTGCTGATTGGCTCTGTGCTGATCACATGTACTCTCCCAAGAAATAGCTCTCTACCAATACACACCAAACTGAACATGTGCAGAGTGACTCAGAGAGCTCTGTACAATCAGCAGATAGATTGGGGACAGAAGAAGAAGGGGAGGATCAGAGAAGCCCGGATCAAACAGCCTTTTTACACAATGCAGAGGATTACCCCTTAGGTTCCACAGTGAATAAGCATGCTTTACTGCATATACAGACTAATGTTACTGCTGTGGGTTTAGCAACACTTCAACTCCACTGCTGGGTGCTAGAATGTAAAAGAGTATTTCAGCATACGGCACCCCGCTGCCACTCAGTAAAGGGAAGCCCAATAAGTGGCTGGCTACACACAGAAGGCCAGTGGATTATGTGCTGGGCACCACTGATCTAGAACGTTAATTCTGTAGACATTTGTATTGCACTTATTGAAGTTCATGTTGGAAGCCAAAAACATGTTTTTTACAGTTCCACTTTAACAGACAGAATGGAAAATTTAAAGTAGCCAATACAACATATACGTTTCTCTGGTTCTGTTTTTTAGCCTTTTCTATTGTAAATGGAAGCTTATGGTTCCTTAAATACATTTAGGCTCCTAGTAGAGGCTTCTTGTGCATCCCAAATTATACATTATTATTACAGTAATAAACCCAAAAGCAAAACATTTATTATACTACAGCTTACCAATTCTTAGATGTGGTGGTTGCACTAGTTTTCTTTTTTAGTCTCTCTTTCCTTTATTTTTGTCTGGTGATCCAGCCAGTAAGTCTTTTGGTTTTCAAAAGAACAAGTGTGACTGCAGTGTGATTTGGAGCTTGGCTTCAGTTTGTTAGTGTATCTAAATCTGTAAGTACATCTAACACTCACCTCCCCTCAGAATGACAATGATGCTGTCCAAAGATGTCCCGGTGCCCCTTCATCCAGTGGGGGGCACTCTAATACAGGTGGTGTGTTATTGTACAGATCACCAGGTTAATAGAGAGGCTAAAAGCCAAAAAAACAAAAAAAGAAAAAAAACAAAAAAAGAAAACGAATACAGCCACCACATCTAATGATTGGTAAGCGGCAATACGTCACATTTTTGGTTTTAATACGGCTTTAATAATCACTCTTGGAATCTCCTGGGGGCGTTCTGAGACATTTATATTGTTTAAAGTGGAAAAGCTTGTCCAACCCTTAAAGCTTCAACTTCTGGCCAGAAACATTTTGTTCATTTTTTTAATAATACAACAGGGAAGTTTAAAACATTTATTGGGTTTTATATTGCTGTTTGGGACTCCATTTGTAGAGATATCCCCTCATATCCTGTGCCTGGGACACAGGGACAAGAAATGAGGTAACAAATCACTGGGACATGAAGATACAACAATAAAAATCCAATGGAAGATCTACTGTTAACCCTCTCTCCTTAAAACTGAACTCTAAGAAGATATAAAGACACACATTAATGCAGGTCTGTAATCATTATTACATTATTTATTGTATTGTTTAAATGCAAGAAGCCAACTGCCTGAAATTGAACTGATTGCAGTCCCAGTACAGCTGGGCTGGAGTGTAAGAGTGAGCTCATGTGCTGGAAAGTAGCATGTTGACAGAAGGAATAAGCAGGGTGACAGACAGAGCTCACAACTGTGCTGCTTCTCCTTTCACTGTCCCATCACAAGTTGTGTGGCGGGTCCAGGACAATCTGGGCTCAAAGGAAATCGGTTGAAAGATGCTGGCCATCAGACTGAGGGCACCTAGTGGCAGAAAAGTGCTTTAGAGGGAAATTTCTTGATTGGGTGTGGATTCACACATGTGCGATGCGGATTGAAGCTCTCGTTTCATAGCTAATTGACACAGTAGTAATTAAGCGGTTCAGGTCAGGTTTAGATCAGAATTTTATCCTGTTCACAACTGATGACGTGCATTTTAGACACAGTTCCCATAGAAGTCAATAGCCTATAATCCACACCTGAATCAGACCGCACTGCTCAGAAATCAGACAGGACTCTTTTTCAGCCCAGGTTCACAACAATGAGGTGCGGGAAATGCTGCGAATCCTGTGTGTTTCGCACACCGCATTGCAATCGCATCACATGTAGTGTGGGTGTCAATAATAAGTTAATGGCACCCCATAACCAATCACAAAACATGATGAAATTGCCAGAAATCGCATTGCATGGGTGAGAGCACCCATGCGATGCAATTCAGGTGCGGATTTAACAAAAAAAAAAAAAAAGGGAGTCCTGCACCTTTTTGGTGCAGATGCGATTTTAGCCATACAAAGTGTATGGCTCAAATCGCACCACACAGACATTTGCATGTCATTCACACAGGAATGCGGTGCGATTCATGTGCGAATTACATGTGGTGCCCTGCACAGCATAGTGTAAACCCGCTGTTAATCCGCAGTGCCAGTGCACTGGACATTCGTGATGTCATGTGGATTGGATACGGTTCAAAAACATGTATGTGACCCAGGACTGAAGGTGAATATTGCAGCAAAATCTGGTTTTCTTGTTTTGTATTTCAATGGGCTATTAGTTTGTATCTTATTTTGCTTGGAGTTCTGCTTTAAATGCTTTTGTTGCTGTGAAAGAGATTTCCCATACAGCTTACCCCTCTCCTCCTCCTCCTGTATGAGGATACAGACAAAATACAAATTTGACATAGGCTTTAATCCGTTGCACAAAAAAAAAAATCAAAACAATTTTGACTACAGTTAGTTTTAAGCACAAGTCTGACATGACATTTCATACGAATATTTCCCAGTTAAACATAACCACAATTATTTTCCCACGTTTCCTGGCTGCCACAACCCCACTACTACTGCCAAGTATGCACTCAGTCCAATGATTTTTTTTTTTTTAAATCAGCGCTAGGGACAGAATTTACATTAAAGGGTAAGTTTACCTTTAGTAACAGTTTACTTGTTACACCCGTATTCAGGGTTTAACTTGTTACTAAAGTAGCAGCCCTGCGATACCCCATCCCTCATGAAGATGGGCAGAAGAACCTCTCCTTGCACCCGCTGTCAGAATTCAAAAACAGCACAACTGTGTAGGGTTCCATTCACACAGTCACATCATTCATTCATAGAGCTCTGTGAACGAATGAACTACAAGTCCCATCTGCCATCATGGCAGACGGCTTGTAGTTCTCAATGAACTGCGAGAATGAAGGTGATGGCTCTCGTAGTTCATTGATTTTTCTGTTCTTAGTAGTCTGCAGGAGCCTGCCATTGCACCCAGGACAAAAAATAAATAAATAAAATGTACATTTTTTTTTTACCTACAAATTTTTTACCAAACATTTATTATTTTCACAAACCTCAACTTAGCCTTTAAATGATGATTGGATTGTCCTGTGTGCTGGTGGCTGCTCTTTCAAATTTTCCATCTTCTGCCTAATATACCCCACAGCAGAGATCTTACTCTGCTGCAGGAGTTAATACAATTGGCTTCACCATTGACAGGAACTTGTCAAACGTGCTGACTATGCCCTCGCTTTATGCCCCCTGCTCCACTCCTAGAAGAATTAATATCACTTTGATGGGTGTATAAATGAAAAGGTCCATCTCCTCCATTCATAAATTGCTTTTCATTGTGGGAAGTGATAGTACAGTTTCTATGAATGGAGCTGGGTAGAGTGTGATAAAGTGCCAGCACATCTGAAGAGCCCACTGGCTTGGGTTAGGCAGCTCACAACAGAAAAGGCCATTATCCAGTGGGTACCCCAGCAGGTTGCCAAAAATCATACACACATACATGGAAGGAGCTCCAGACCACAAGATAAAAGAGTTCAAATTCATTTATTGTTATTGTTTTAAAAAAATTCCAACGCGTTTCAGGGATCAAAGGAACTCTCCCCTTCATCATGTCTTCAAGTAAGAATGAGAACCTTGAATGGACTCAAAGCTGTCCTGTGTGAATCTGTGTAGGGAAGCTAATTGCTGGATCAGAAGAATTACTGGCTAGGAGTTTCTCCAACGCAATCAGTCTGATCCAGCAATGACCTTCCCTGCACAGATTCACATAGAAAAGCTTTATTTTTAGTCCATTCAAGGTTCCCATTCTTACCTGAATCTCTGATGAAGCGGGAGTTCCTTTCACCCCCCCAAAAACACGTTGGCTGTTTTTTTTAGCACAGTACCAATTAATGATTTTGTACTCTTAATTTTTTGTCCGGCACTCATTCCAAATATTTATCTGTTTTTCTGGCACCTTGGAATTTTGGAGATGTCTGACCATCTTAGGTGTTTTAAATCTTTCCATCGCACTAGCTATACAATAAAATACAACAAACTGAAATTCCAACAAGGAAAGTGGAACCCCTTGTAACTGACTCAAAAAGTGTGCAGATCTTGGAACTCTAGTGCACAGATTCCTAGGCGTGCTACTGCTATTTTGCTCCTGGGCACTTTATTACTTTGTTTCAAACAAATTCATTGTGGTGATTCTGTCACATTGAGTCCTCATACGTTTATGGAATATTGGAGCCCTGAAGAAGGGGGATACTTCTGAGCTCCTGAAACACATTGGCTGTTTTGTATTGTCTTATGAAACAAACACCATTAGTAAGAGTTTTTGGACTCCCGGGTTTGTTGGTTTGACGCTTCTATATGTTGTTTCAAAGCTCCAGGTCCCCCAGTTTGAGGGGCACCCTGTTTTGTGTTTGACAGCAGCCTTACCTGAGTCATTGTGCCTCATATGAATTTGTCTGATCTCTTCAAACCACGAGCCATTGATGAGTCGAATCCAAATATCTTAGTTACACATACTCCAGTTTCAGCATAAAGCCCCCATCCCGTAACCTACTGATGGGGGCCATGGGCAGAAAAAATACCCAGTCCTTCCAGGTATGGAAGTGCATGTGACATTGATGTATTGAAAATTAATACTTTATTATGCACACACTGGCCTTATGCAACTGTCCTGTTTTTTGTGAGCATTCAGTGGTCACAGACCAGCATCTAATTTTGGGTGAACTGGTCTGATTTTCTATAAAATGTGAGAATTCCAGAAGCTTTACTATACTCTTCGAGAAAGTGCAGAGGTACTACACATACCTGCAGAAACCTCCAAAGTCCCCACCACTGCACTCAAATACTAAGCTGCTCTGATGGGCAAAGCTCTGCAGTTTCCTGCTGGCGTTGGAGGTTTCTCACCGACCTCCCAACACATCCCTATTGGATCAACATTATAGTTTGTTGCTTCAAAGACTATGGCTTCATTCACATGGTTGTACAGTGTGCAGAGCCTGCATACTGACATTTCCAGGACTTGCTACCACAGAGTACAGCCACCCATTGAGATGCATTAGTAGAGTATTTGGTTGTGAGCTGGGGCTTGTTCAAACACTTGCACGACACAAGCACTGACGTATTCTCTGTGCTCACACTATCGGAGCATACGTCAGTATGCAAGAGGGTGCATTACGCAACCCCCATGCACGCCTGCCTCTTCTTATGCATCTTAATGAGCGGTTGTATGCGGTGACAGTTGGTCCATGAAATGCCAGTACACAGGTCCTGCACAAACCTGTGTATGAGGCCTAACAGTAAGGTACCCATGGAATGAGGAGTGGGCTGGCATCCATACCACAGGAAAGTAAAGCTTTGCACATCACAACTGGCCAGTATTCAGTTATAAACCCAGAGATTTATGCAGGTAAGTGCCCCTCAATGCACCTGTTGCTATCCTAATGGAGGTCAGTGAGTGATACCCCGCAAAAGAAAAAGCTAAATACTAATCCACTGAGCAACAAAGCAAATCTTCGTTCACTGAAGAGCTTTGAGACATGTCAAAAAGCATGTTCACACTCTTAAACAGAGGCTGCCTGCTGGACAGGTAAGTTATCCACCTATTCTTTTACAGAGTGGTATTACCAGAGTTCCATTCCGATGGTGAGAGAGTTTTTACTTTTCTGGATTTAACAAAAAGGAAAATTATCAATTCAGGATAGACTGAACTGAAGTGCAAAATTGAACTTAAGCAGTCTGCTGACTTTTAGTTTAACTGACCTGCTAGGTTCAAGATGTCCCATGTTACTCCTTTGGGAAAGAATCTCTTCATATTGATAGCCCATTGGTAGTCGCTCCATCTCTCCTTCCAGGCCTGCAGGATGGCCTGCTTCAGATTCATTAACTTCATGGTTCAGACCTGTTTAAGCACAAAATATCCAATCTTACATCTATACATTGATTAAAACAAACTTAAGCCATGATTTCACCTGGTGATCAAGCCAGTAACACACTTCCTGTCTAAGGGTGTGTCCACTATGGATGGAGGAGCAATGGAGACACCTTTGTATGGACTTGACTAACTTGCTTTTTTTTTTTTTCTGGAAAATAACAAACCTGTATAGTGCTGAATAGCAAGAAAGTGGCAACGGGGAGGGGTAAAACTTTTTGATAGTCAAGTGGATAAAGTATAAGTCACCGGTCACACCACTGCAAATTAAAATCACGCGATTTGTGTGCAATTTAAGCATGATTTCAGGTGCAATTTCTGAAGACTTTATTGCTACTTGTGAAGATTATCAATGATTTCTTGCAATTTGCAGTGCGATTTCTTTATATTCTATGTATGAAAAATTCCAACAAAAGTGCAGAGAAAGTAATGCAAGAACTACTTTAGAAATCTTGCTGCAGTAAATCGTACAGGTTAAGACACTGACATTCATTAGATGCGATTTCAGGTGCAATTTAAATTTTCAAATCACACCTGAAGTTGCACAGGTATGACCAGGCACTTAGTGGCTAAATGCAATTTTTTTTTTAGTTTTGTATAGAGTGGAGATGGATTAGAACCCCTGTCAGTTTTTATTGCTGTCTGTACTCATTAGGGAGATTCACCCTATTTGTCTGGTTTACAATTATCAGTGAAAGTGAAAGAAAATCCAACTTTTTGGGTTGTCCCCAGAACAATAATATCTCCTGAGGGGGACACTAGTTCTGGTGACCCAAGAGATTCCTTTAACCGCTTTCCCGCCACCCTATAATAGAACTACTGCTACAGGGACATATACGTGATTTACATTTCCCCGCCAGCACCCGGCGATTGTTGGGCAGAGACCTGTGTGTAAACAACAAAGGTCTCTCTCCTGCCAGCAAGGACATGCTGCTGTGTATTTCTCTGCACAGCAGAGATATACACAGCAGCATGTCTCTGTAGTAAAACACACACAGCACGTCATGTAAAACAGCACGCTGTTAACCCCTTGATCGCTTCAGATGTTAAGCCCTTCCTGCCCAGTGTCATTAGTACAGTGTCAGTGCTTTTTATTAGCACTGATCACTGTATTAGTGTCACTGGAGATGTCAGTGACAGTTAGTCAGTACCCCCTCAGTGTCAGAATGCCCGCCGCAGTCCCGCTATATGCTGCTGATCGCCACCATTACTAGAATTTAAAAAAATAAATTCCAGTATATATACCGCCATTTGTAGACGTTATAACTTTCATGTAAACCAAATAATTTTCATGTATTGGGATTTTTTTTTTTTTTTTTTAGCAAAGAAATGTAGAATACATGTTAGCCAAATTTATGAAGAAATTTGTTTTTTGTTTTTTTTTTTCCACTGGATATGTTTTATAGCAAAAAGTTAAAAATATTACTTTTTTTTTTTTTCAATATTGTCGGTCTTTTTTTGTTTATAGTGCAAAAAATAAAAAAAGCAGAGGTGATCAAATACCACCAAAAGCTAAATTTGTGGGAGAAAAAAACTCCATAAATTTCATTTATGTACAGCGTTGAATGACAGTGTAATTGTCAGGTAAAGTAACACAGTGCCGTATTGCAAAAATGGCCTGGTCGGGGAGGGGGAATAAATCCTCTGGAGGGCAAGTGGCTAAGTAAGCCATGTTTCAGCTGCTTTAGGTCAGGCACCGTATCGACTGTCAGATCTCAGGTCACCCGAGATCTGACAGTCGATGACTCTCACAGTTATTTTGCAGGGATTATATCTCACGTCCTGTTTTCCCGTCCAGGAAGTGCAGCAAACTCTCCCCAATGGGACACAGAGGGCAGAAAAACAGACAGGGGTCATAAGCATCCCTTATGCAGGCCACAGATGGGTCGAATTCAGAATGATTTTTCGTCGAAAATCAAAAACGTTGTTCGCTCAGTAATCCGATGGTGCCATCAATGATTTCGAAAATCGGCCGACCAAGTCATAAAGTTCACCCCATACAACAGGTGAAAATTCGGTTCCTTCCAGGTCACGGCTCATGCGCATATTCTTTTTGGAAAAACGATCGTACGATTTGACCATCGAGTTGAAAATCTGTAGTTTTTCACAAATTTTCCAACATGCCCGATCACCGAAAAGGGGAGGGACCATGAAAATCGGCAGGTGCCACTGACCCACTAACAGAACGAAAATCAGCCGATTATTCTTAGGTCGAATTTGGACCCATGTATGAGGGCATAAGGGAGGGTTATGACCCCTGACAGTTTTTCTGCACTCTGTGTCCCATTGGTGAGGGTTTGCTGCACTTCCTCTCCTGTAGCCAAAACAGGAAATGAGATATAATCCCTGCAAATTAACCACTTGCACTCCAGAGGATTTATTCTCCCCCCCCCCCCCCCCTTCCTGACCAGGCCATCTTTGCACTACGGCACTGCGTTACTTTAACTGACAATTGTGCGGTCATGCAACACTGTACTTAAATTACATTTATCTCCTTTTTTCCCCACAAATTGAGCTTTCTGTTGGTGGTATTTAATCACCCCTGCTTTTTTTTATTTTTTGCGCTATGAACAAAAAAAAAAAGACCGACAATATTGAAAAAAATAGTAATATTTTTGACTTTTTGCTATAAAACATATCCAGTAGAAAATGCAAAAAAAAAAGTGTCATCTTTTATTTCTGTCTAATAGCCAAAACAGGAAATGAGAAGAAATCCCTCCAATGTGAGGGTGTCAGCAGACCAAGTGTCCCCATTGGAAGATTACCCCTTTGTTCCTGTACTGGTGACAACCCAAAAAAGTGGAATTTCTTTTTTTTTTTTCTGTTTTCACTCTCAGTGATTGAAGTAAACAGAACCAAATAGAACAGGTAGACCTCCCTAGCAGTGTCACCATCAGCAATACCAAGTGACAGGGGTTCTAATCCTTCTCCATTCTACTCAAAACTAAATGTAAAGTTTAGCCATTAGTTATACTAGATGTGCACTACAAACCCTTCTATGGGGATACAGCAGCCCCCCCCATTTAGGGTCAGTATTGACACCCTTGTGATAGGTGACCATCCCATATACAGGATGTAAACACAGCACATCCAACACAGTGTTAGCACCCAGGAAGAAAGAACTTCCAGCGAGCTCCATGCACCCATCATTCTGCTGATCTAGAGGCAGTCTCAACCATCCCATTACAACACCAAACCTGCTCATCCCCATCCTCCCCTCTCACCTCCGATCTCTCCACACTCATTCCTATGAATAGGGAACCTCCATACCGGCTCCGCCCACCTGCCCGGCCTGTGTCGCCTGCTGATGACATTGCACGGGCCGCGAATGCTCATGGGAGTTGTAGTTCACAGTCAATGCACGGGGCGCCGCTCAGTTCTGGCGGGAAGTCTCTTGAGCCACATGAGGCGCCAGCGTGAGGTAGAAGAGTTGTCGTCGCCTCAGACAGAGCTGTGCCGGTACGTTGTCCGCAGTCACACCAGAGAGACACCAACAAGCAGCGTTTTCTTTTTTTTTTTGTTTTATTATTTTTTAATATTTGTGTGAGACTTTCATGTTTTTTTGGGGGTTAGGTCCGTTATCACACACAGCAGTACATGTTGGTGCGCTTTTGGGCAGCAGCTTGTATTGTAAATTCCTGTTTTACAGAATGTGGCATTTAAGATGGAAAATCTAAGGGCCAGTTCACACTACATGTGTTTCAGTTACTTTTTTTCTGCATCCAAAACGCACAGAAAGTAGGTGATATGGTTGTCAATGTCATCGTGCACATCAGTGCTTTCAGTTCCAGTGCGTCCAGATGCAGAAAAAATAGAACAGGCTGCATTTTTCCTGCACAGAATTGTACTGGAACGCGGTAAAATACATAAAAAACGCACATGTCCCTATTTAAATTGAAGAAAAAGAGTGAAAATGAACAGGAATGCATAAAAAACGCTTCGGAACGGGTCAAAAACATGCATGTGGAAACATCTGGACTGCGTTTCTAAAGTGTGACTAGGCCTTGAGGGCCTGTTCACACCACATGCAGTCCAGTGTGTTTTTTTTTTCCCCTACATCAAAAATGCATTGATAGTAGGTTACATGGTTTCCGATGGCATAGTGCGGTCAGTTCCAGAAAAAATAAATAGAAAAATAGAACATGCTGCATTTTTGTCTGAACTGTACATAAACACAGTAAAATGCATCAAAAATGCACCGGAATGCACCTCTCCTTATTTAAATTGAAGAAAAAGAGTGGAAACATAAACTGGGAAGCATCAAAAACGCACCTGTCCATATTTCAATTGAAGAAAAAAAAAGGAAACATGAACTGGGATGCATCAAAAACGCAGTGGAATGCATCAAAAACACATCGGCACGTGCAAAAAAATCATAAAAAACCGCTCCTGTCCCTATTTAAATTGAAGAAAAATGAACTGGGATGCATCAAAAACGCAGTGGAATGCATCAAAAACACATCGGCATGTGCAAAAAATTCATAAAAACGCTCCTGTCCCTATTTAAATTGAAGAAAAATAGAAGAAAAATGAACTGGGATGCATCAAAAACGCAGTGGAATGCATCAAAAACGCATCAGCATGTGCAAAAAAATGTATAAAAAACGCTCCTGTCCCTATTTAAATTGAAGAAAAAAAGAGAGAAAAAATGAACTGGGATGCATAGAAAACGCACCGGAACTTGTCGAAGTACACGCGGAAACGCATCTGGACTGCGTTTCTATAATATGAACTGGCCCTGAGGTCCTGTTCACACCACATCCAGTCCAGTGCGTTTTTTTTTTTCTACATCAAAAATGCATTGATAGTAGGTTACATGGTTTCCAATGGCATAGTTCACTCCAGTGTGGTCAGTTCCAGAAAAAATAAATAGAAAAAGTAAAACATGCTGCATTTTTTTTCTGAACTGTACATGAACACAGTAAAATGCATCAAAAACGCACCAGAACGCACCTGTCCCTATTTCAATTAAAAAAAAAGAGGAAAAAGGAACTGGGATGCATCAAAAACGCAGTGGAATGCATCAAAAACGCACTGGAACGTGCAAAAAAATGTATCATAAATGCTCCTGTCCCTATTTAAATTGAAGAAAAAGAGAAGAAAAATGAACTGGGATGCACACAAAAAACGCACCGGAACTTGTCAACGTACATGCGGAAATGCATCTGGACTGCGTTTCTATAATATGAACTGGCCCTGAGGACCTGTTCACACAACATGCAGTCCAGTGCGCTTTTTTCTTTCTACATCAAAAATGCATTGATAGTAGGTTACGTGGTTTCCGATGGCATAGTTCACTCCAGTGCGGTCAGTTCCAGAAAAAATAAATAGAAAAAGTAAAACATGCTGCATTTTTTTCTGAACTGTACATGAACACAGTAAAATGCATCAAAAACGCACCGGAACATGTCAAAAACACGCATGTGGAAATGCATCTGGACTGCATTTCTAAAGTGTGAATTGGCCCTTAGGGCCTGTTCACACCACATGCAGTCCAGCACGTTTTTTTTCCCTACATCAAAAACGCATTGATAGTAGGTTACATGGTTTCCGATGGCATAGATCACTCCAGTGTGGTCAGTTCCAGAAAAAATTAATAGAAAAATAGAACATGCTGCATTTTTTTCTGAACTGTACATGAACATAGTAAAATGCATCAAAAACGCACCTGTCCCTATTTAAATTGAAGAAAAAGAGGAAACATGAACTGGGATGCATCAAAAACGCAGTGGAATGCATCAAAAACGCATCGGCACGTGTAAAAAAATTCATCAAAAATGCTCCTGTCCCTATTTAAATTGAAGAAAAATAGAAGAAAAATGAACTGGGATGCAACAAAAATGCAGTGGAATGCATCAAAAACGCACCAGAATGTGCAAAAAATGCATCAAAAACGCTCCTGTCCCTGTTTAAATTGCAGAAAAATAGAAGAAAAATGAACTGGGATGCATCAAAAACGCAGTGGGATCCATCAAAAACGCACCGCAACGTGCAAAAAATGCATCAAAAACGCTCCTGTCCCTATTTAAATTGAAGAAAGAGGAAAAAATAAACTGGGATGCATAGAAAACGTACCGGAACTTGTCAACGTACATGCGGAAACGCATCTGGACTGCGTTTCTATAATATGAACTGGCCCTGAGGTCCTCTTCACGCCACATGCATACAAGAACTGTCACAGAAGACTACGGGGGGGGGGGGGTGAAGGACAACTTCTGCTTCCAATCGCCTTAGGCGATCGCAGTGGAAGTGGAGGCGGGTACATGGGTACAAAAACGCACAGGACTGCATGTGGTGTGAACAGGCCCTCAAGGCCGGTTGACACTATAGAAACGCAGTCCAGATGCGTTTCCGACACGTTCCGATGCATTTTTGATGCATTCCAGTTCATTTTTCCTCTTTTTCTTCAATTTAAATAGGGACAGGTGCGTACCGGTGCATTTTACTGTGTTCATGGACAGTTCAGAAAAAAATGCAGCATGTTCTATTTTTCTATTTTTTTTCTGGAACTGGAATGCACTGGAGTGATCTACAGTCAGGTCCATAAATATTGGGACATCGACACAATTCATACATTTTTGGCTCTATACACCACCACAATGGATTTGAAATGAAACGAACAAGATGTGCTTTAACTGCAGACTGTCAGCTTTAATTTGAGGGTATTTACATCCAAATCAGGTGAACGGTGTAGGAATTACAACAGTTTGCATATGTGCCTCCTACTTGTTAAGAGACCAAAAGTAATGGGACAGAATAATCATAAATCAGACTTTCACTTTTTAATACTTGGTTGCAAATCCTTTGCAGTCAATTACAGCCTGAAGTGTGGAACGCATAGACATCACCAGACGCTGGGTTTCATCCGTGGTGATGCTCTGCCAGGCCTCTACTGCAACTGTCTTCAGTTCCTGCTTGTTCTTGGGGCATTTTCCCTTCAGTTTTGTCTTCAGCAAGTGAAATGCATGCTCAATCGGATTCAGGTCAGGTGATTGACTTGGCCATTGCATAACATTCCACTTCTTTCCCTTAAAACACTCTTTGGTTGCTTTTGCAGTATGCTTTGGGTCATTGTCCATCTGC